GGGTTGTTTGGTATCTTTGTTAGAGTCCCCACTTAAACTCTAAAAAGAAATATAACTCTAGGAAAGCGTTCCACATGAAAATGTTTCCGAGAACGGGTTATAGGTCACTTCATAAATAACACTAAGTTTAAATAAATATCTTTATTAACATTTAGGAAACTTGTAAATTTAACTAAAACATTTTAACATATATAAAACTTAACCACTTTAACATGGAGGCAGCATAGAAATAAACTGCGAAAAGGTAACCGGCGAGAACATGCCGGATTGCTAGCTAGAACCGACGGGGAGAGAGAGCAAGCTGTGAGGATGCGGCCAAGTTATATCCAAAACATACTGTGCGCATTTTACTGATTTCGCCCTTCACGCATATCTCCATCCAGGTATGAGGTTTACGTCAATTACCGGCTGCAAACTACGTAGTCCATCGTCAGAGATTCGTAGTTCGGACTTTGCATTTCAGACCGCAACGCCACATAGTTATTGCGCAAAAAGAATCTACGAGAAGAGTTACGTGTAAGAACAGTTACGAAACGTAAGCTAAACACTGATATGAAAAATAAATCAAAATTTTACTATAAAAAATAATAGATTTCTTGCATTGTAGTTTTTGCGTAAGAAGAATCTAAGAGAAGAGTTACGTGTAAGAAGAGTTACGAAACATTAACTAAACAGTGATATGAAAAATAAATCAAAATTTCACTATCCGCACTTGGGAAAAAATAAATTTCTCATATTATCGTAGTTATCGCTTAAGAGTGCTCGAGTGTACGAAAGATTAACTAAACACTAATCACAATAAATCAAAATTTTATTATCTGTACTTGTGAAAAAATAAGTTTCTTACATTGTAGTTATGTAGTTATCGTGTAAGAAGAGTCTTGCTTGAGTAAACATTATGAAAACATTCTGACTGCCTTAGTTTTTGAAAGCTTTTCAAATAGATTGCATCAGGATCTCCATACAGGATACATTTATGAAAGAACGTTTTTCTTGGTTTTTATAAAATTAAATACCTTAATTCTAAACTGCTAAAAACTTACTTATTTATTTTCATTAATCTAAGATATAATGCGTAAAATGCGCAAAAAAACCGGATCCTGAATAACTTTTGATCCAATGATTAGATCTTCATGTTCTAGGAGTCCAACTTAATGGTTTCAAGGGGGGTGGGCTCAAACATGCTAATTAATTAGTGCAGACAGTATTTTAAATCGCAAAATCAGACACGAAAATGCACTTTCTCTGAATAAACATGTTTCCCCCCCCCAACGGATTCGGATTTCTAACCCCCAAAGTATAAAGGGAAGCTGCAATCTGGGGAATAGGGTCCATGTAGTTTGGTCAAGAGAATGGTAAAAACTTTTGACCCCTTAATGTAAATTTAAATTTTTGCGTATTCCGCCCTTTTTCGAGAATTTTTCAACCAAATTGAAAAATTTTGCACAAAATTTTAAAATTCTTTTATCTTAAGATAATTCTTTCAGTATAGTATCAGTGTATATAATATGCTGTTTAAATTCCTTCTAGCACTTGGTAATTGGTAAATATTTTGCATTTTCTTGGTAGAAATACAGCTTTATTTTAATATAAAAATTCAATAAATTAAACATTTTCTAGTTTAAAAATACTATTTGTTCTTTAATTTCATTGAGCTAGAATGGCTTTAAAAGGAGCATATTTAACTGTTTATTAAAAGTTATTTGAAGTCATTAAGAGGATTTTTATAGGTTTCATGGCGTGCCCAAGACGTATCTCTTTTTTTTTGTTGTTGCAAATTTTGGTTTCAAAAAAACTAAATTACAAAAAATTTTTATATTATTTCATAAATGTGTTTGTGTTAAAATAATGTCTGTGCTTTAGTTGAACTCCCGTAAAAGATCAGAATCCTAAGTTAAAAGTTATTGGAGTTGTTGTTGTTGTTAATTTACGTCACACTAGAGCTGCACAATGGGCTATTGGCGACGGTCTGGGAAACAGCCCGGAGGCTGATCCGAAGACATGCCATCACAATTTTGATCCTCTGTGGAGGGGATGGCACCCCCGCTTCGGTAGCCCGACGACCTACGCGCGAAGACGAGCACTTTACGGTAGCACAGTTTAACGAGAACCAATACCGCACACCCGCGGTCCCTACGCAGACTGATCCAAGTGGTCACCCACCCGCACACTGACCGTATCCAGTGATGCTTGACTTCGGTGATCTGCTGGGAACCGTGTCTTAATGATAAAAGTTATTGGAAAAAAATTTACATTGATGCTTCCTTAATGACATCAAAACCTAAAAGCAATTAAAAAAATGTTTTTAATTTTTATGTTTTTAATAAAGATTACGTATATTACATATTATAAACCAAAAACCTAAAAAATATTGCTGTATGCCAATCTGTCTGACAATAAGGATGTTAAATTGTTAAAAGTGTTATAATTATTGTAATAACTATTAGCAAGTGGCAGACAATTTCAATCAAAAAATAATTAATCATTTATCAATAAAGGTACATGTTTGTCTGTGTGTGGGTGTGTGTCCTTTATAGACTCCTAAACCATAAAACCGAAATCGATGAAATTTGGCATACAGATACTTTGAAGCACGAGGAAGATCACAATCGTCATTAGAACATTCTACGATGAGCCGTTTGACCGGGATGAGTGAAAAACGAAAAGGAATTTTCTAATCGGATAAGTTTTAGCCATTGTTTTTAAATTAAACTATAGACGNGCACAAAATTTTAAAATTCTTTTATCTTAAGATAATTCTTTCAGTATAGTATCAGTTTATACAATATGCTGTTTAAATTCCTTCTAGCACTTGGTAATTGGTAAATATTTTGCATTTTCTTGGTAGAAATACAGCTTTTTTTTAATATAAAAATTCAATAAATTAAACATTTTCTAGTTTAAAAATACTATTTATTCTTTAATTTCATTGAGCTAGAATGGCTTTAAAAGGAGCATATTTAACTGTTTATTAAAAGCTATTTGAAGTCATTAAGAGGATTTTTATAGGTTTCATGGCGTGCCCAAGACGACATAGTATCTCTTTTTTTTGTTGCAAAATTTTAGCTCTAAAAAAATTCAATTAAAAAATTTTTTTATACTATTTCATAAATGTGTTTGTGTTAAAATAATGTCTGTGCTTAAGTTGAACTCCCGTAAAAAATCAGAATCCTAAGTTAAAAGTTATAGGGAAAAAATGTACACTGATGCTTCCTTAATGATATCAAACCCTAAAAGCAATTAAAAAAATGTTTGTAATTTTTATATTTTTAATAAATATTACGTATATTACATATTATAAACCAAAAACCAAAAAAATATTGCTGCATGTCAATCTGTCTGACAGTAAGGATGGTAAATTGTTAAAAGTGTTATAATTATTGTAATAACTATTAGCAAGTGGCAGGCAATTTCAATCAAAAAATAATTAATCATTTATCAATATGCATAAAAGTAAATGTTTGTCTGTGTGTCCTTTATAGACTCCTAAACCATAAAACCGAATTCGATGAAATTTGGCATACAGATACTTTGAAGCACGAGGAAGATCACAATCGACATTAGAACATTCTACGATGAACCGTTTGACCTGGATGAGAGAAAAACGAAAAGGAATTTTTTAATTGGTTAAGAGTTGTTTTAAATTTAACTATAGACGATTCAATTTTTCGCATATTTTAAAGATAACACGAGTGATAATTACTACCTATTTGATCAAAAAAAATTTTTTTTTCTTTTTGCGTGTATTTAAATATTTCATTATTTTACATTCGCTATGTCAAATAAATTCAATGGCGTGGTAGCGCGCGTGTTCTACGTCAAGAAATTTATACCTTAAAGTTGTCTGATACGACGCGCTTTTTATTTATTTATATTAATTCATTAAAAACATGTTTCTAAAAAAAATAATTTTTTAAAATCAACCGTAACGGGATACTTGAAAGGGACGTAATGTGAGTATTTCGATCCTGATTGGTGGTTAAAACGTGGCCTTTGTTTACATTAGTAACTGTTCTTTCCAATCTATTTCGTGTGAGCCAAGCCCGTCAAGTACCAATTCTCTTAAGTAACACAGCCTATATTCTTTCACAAAGATTCTTCGAAAAACATTTTCAATTCTTTCTCTATATATTTACACAAAGACGGACACGAACCCATGTAAACCCCAAAAAATCGCCATTCACAGATGACGCTTAATTATTGTGTACTACTGGCGGTAATATTTACTACTGGTAGTATGGTAATTGGTGCAGTTTTGATAAGAATTCTACAACGGGCTTTCCTTAGTTACAAAAAATATTTTTTTCAGTGGTACCAAAGATAATGTATTAATATTTTACTGAAGAGAATTCAAAGAACTTTGTTCCACCACTACTTATAAATATTTTAACAGTAAATTAAAGGTCAGATAGCGAAATAGAGATAGAAGAATTAAGAGATTGAGAAATTCAAAATAACTGTTACATGTAATTGTTATCTTTTCTAGTTCAATTATTCCTCATTTAAATTTCTTTCATTTACAAAATCAATTATGAATTTTTGATTATGAAGGAAAGAAAAAAAAATGTTCAAACTACTTTTTTTTGGTTTTTATACTTTTGTACAAATATAATTCTAATAATCTAACATTTTTTTTTAGTATCGATTAAACTGGTTTTTAAAATTAAAAAATATGTGTATACATATATATATTTTTGCTTGTAATTAGAGTACAAAAAAGTATATTAAAGGGAAACAGGCGTCCCAACTGCGTTAAAGGGTTAAGAGATGTAGGAATTCAAAATAACTGTTACTTGATATTATTGTCTTTTCTAAAACTACCCTGTTAGCAATAAAAACAATTAGTACAACTGCTACGTTAATTTGATAATATTTTAAAAATAACAGGTATTTTTTTTTCTCAGAAATGACTTTTGTGTTAAAATTACAACTTTATGATTTAATAAACTGTCATGAAAATCATAAAATAAGACATGTATCTTTTTTCTTTTTAGCTCAAAAGTTGGAAACAAATAAAAATAAATAAATGATGGCACTATTATTCATCACAGCCCTATTAATGTCTCATCAGCTCTTAGTAATGGGATCGAGCAACACAGGTTCTCAGACAGTGACATTCACAATGCGTAAGCTGGCATTTTCCACCAACCAGTTTGGCATCGATCTCTACAGGGCGTTGAATGTTACTGACGAAAACATTGCCTTCTGTCCCTTCTGTATTGGATCTTCACTGGCCATGGTCCTCTTGGGGGCTGAAGGAAACACGGCCATGGCCTTAAGACAGGCTCTTTACCTATGGGGCCTGCATCCACAAGAGATTCACTTGGCCTATCACGACCTCATAGGACATCTAGGTTTAAACCTTTCGCCACTTGATGAGGTGTTCCTGGGAGCCAGGAGATCACCGGGTGATGAGAATGTCTTGAAACTCATCAACAATGTCTATATTCAGAGGCATTTCTCAGTGCATTACCCTTTCCAGTTTTTGCTGAATAGGTAAGAATGTTCTTTAACTTTTGTGCAACTACAAGGTGTTCTAGAAACGCTACCCTTACGATATATTATATTTATTTTATAACCGTCGCTGAACAGCCAACCCAATTTTTTGGGTTTACGCCTACTAATGTTCAACTCCGTAGCCTTGCAATTTTGAACCCAATCCAGAAGACAAGGGTACTCCTGAATCACGTATTGGGAGAAATTTTGCCTTCGAGAAGGACTCTTTGATGGAACTAACTCGCATTTGCGTCACATGGAGAGGGAAACCGCGAAAATCTCCCACGGTTATCCTAATGGCAGGGGGCACTAACCCATGAGCCGTCTACCACTGAGGATATTTTACATCAGCACTGTGGTCGGTGCGAGCTGGGTGCGGAAATCTTATCTACCAGCTCTCGTTTGGGATTCGAACCCGGTTCACCTCATTCGAAGGCGAACGCCCTATCCCCTGATCCATCCCGGCTCTATCATTTATATTAACGTTTAGGGCCTTAAGTCAATATTCCCCTTCGTCAAACTAACAAAACTTAATGAACACATAAAAAAATTTTATCACTAACTGTCGCACCGTCAATTAAACTTGGTACTCTTGAATCATAGCTTTTAAAATATATTGTTGAAAAAGTTGTGGGGAAAGTAAATTATCATGTACGCAAATATTTTGAGGGCTTGTACATGGTCTGAGAATGTAGAAAAAATATTGTAACAGCTATTCTAATAAATAAAATAATAGATTATTGTTAAAAAAGTTTCTGTATTCTATAACTGTTAAAAAATGAAAGCTAAATGATAAAAAAAAGAATTTAATAAATTGATTGTAATCAAACAACCTACTGAGCTAGAATTTCTAATTGAAACAATAACGTCTTTTGTACATGCAATGATTTAAAATACAAACGATAATTTAAATGAGATATGGAAAAAGCTAAAATAATTTTTTTTGTGACAATTACCTGTATTTTTTCTTAATATTCCGAGAGAGAATCATGCTCCTTCGATCAAGTTTCCTTAAAAAAAATCGTTCGAATTTTTCTCTTCGACTTAAAAAGTTTATTTTTCTGTGCGCTTTACTGTATGATCGCCGTCGTTTTACTTTTATGTATTTTTACAAAGAATTTTCTAACTTTCACTTTAATATTCAATAAACGCTCCTTCGAACTCAGATCAGTAAATAAAGATGACTACAATGAGCTGCAAATGACTTGATAGAACGATGCAAACGATGTGTCGAATGAATGTTGTTTAAAAGAGAAATTTTATGAAGAGACAACATTATTTATTTATTGATCGAAAACGATTTTATAAATTTGATTTTCAACAAACGATATGCGTATTGTAATAATAAAATGCTAGGCAGTTTCTTGTTTTTATAGTACTTAACTATTATTTTGCTGGGACATCTAAGTTATTTCTCGCTTTTATGTGTGTAACACGTTTCTATATAGTATAAATGTATGATTTTTTTTTCTTTTTTAAATTTCATTCTATTTTCTTTTAAATTTCATTTTTAAGGTTGAAGCAGTCATTTGCTTTTTAGGCCAATCATGAAAAGAAATTTAAGGTGTGAAAGTATTTTCGGATCACAGTTTTATTGTTAAAATTCACAAAAATTTCATTACAAAAAAACATTCGCAGATTTCGTGAGAAGGCCAGCTCCGTCGTTCCCTACCTCTGGTTGCGCCACTGGCACAAGAAACGGGAAAAACTCTAGTTGAAACTGTCCCTTTACGAGTGTTTCTCTAACCCAAAACTAAAACCTAAAGCTAAATTGACCTAAAGCTAAAGTTGACACCAACTGATTTTTCTGGTCAGAAAGGCATTAGCGTGTCGATTCTCTAATCGGGCTAATTTTTTTCAGTGAATACGGATTCTACTGAAATTTAGTTTCTGTTTAAAATGTATAAAATCTTTTTAGATTTTAAATTCTGATAAGTCAAAAAAGAAATTTCAGAACAAAAAAGTTATGAAAAAATGTTGCATCATTTCTTCATAATAATCTGTAAAAGAACGTTTTAATCCAAAAGTGTGTATTTACACTTTGAAGTAAAAGATAATATGCACATTTACGGTATAAGATAATGTATTTATTTAAAGTATGATATGAATAAACAAATTTAGTAAAACTTCAAATAAAAATGTTATAACAAAAGTTCCAAACAAAATCAAGAATATGTTTATGGTAAGATTGTTTTTAGTCGGTTATCTTGTTCAATTATAAAACACAATATTTTTTTCTGATTTATATAAATATTCAAATAATTATCTGAATATCAAAACACAAGGGATAGAGCGTTCGCCTTCCTATGCGGCGAACTGTGCTCGAATCCCAGTCGATACGAATTCCGCATCCGGCTTGCATCGACCACAGCGCTGACGTGAAATNGAAATTTCATTACAAAAAAAGCTCCGTCGTTCCCTACCTCTGGTTGCGCCACTGGCACAAGAAATGGGAAAAACTCTAGTTGAAACTGTCCCTTTACGAGTGTTTCTCTAACCCAAAACTAAAACCTAAAGCTAAATTGACCTAAAACTAAAGTTGTCACCAACTGATTTTTCTGGTCAGAAAGGCATTAGCGTGTCGATTCTCTAATTGGGCTAATTTTTTTCAGTGAATACGGATTCTACTGAAATTTAGTTTCTGTTTGCCTTCCAATGCGGCGAACCGGGTTCGAATCCCAGTCGATATGAATTCCGCATCCGGCTTGCACCAACCACAGTGCTGACGTGAAATATCCTCAGTGGTACATAGATCATGGGTTAGAGTCCCCTTGCCGTCAGGCTAACCGTGAGAGGATCTCGTGGTCTTCTTCTCCATGTAATGCAAATGAGGATTAGCTCCATCAAAAAGTCCCCCACGAAGGCAAATTTCTCCCAATACTCGATCCAGGCGTTTCCTTGTCTCCTGGATTGGGTTCAAAATTACATGGCTACGGAGTTGAACATTAGTAGTCGTAAAACCATAAAATTAGGTCGGCTGTTGAACGAAGGTTATAAAATAAAATTTAAAACACTTCCGGTTTTCTTTTTAAATTGAAAACATAAATTGGAGAATAAAATATATTAATATCTATCAAAAAATTAAACTATTTCTTTAAGAGAACTTACTTTTTATATAATTTTTATTTTCCCAAGTTTTTATTTTCTCAATACTTTTGATTTTCTTTTCGAAATGAAAATAAAAATCGAAGAAAAATCGAAGAAAACAAATATTAATACAAATCAAAAAATAAAAATATTTCCTTAAGAGAACCTTATAATTTTAACATATAATTAACTAATAAAATATACGACAACAATATAAAACACTTTTTATGAAATGCTTAAAGAGTACTTTTTTTTTCAGTTTTAAAAAGAAAGCATAAATCTGATCTTTCCTTTAGAGAACTTATTTTCTATTTCATTTTCTTTTAATGCATTTTCTTTTCTTGTCAATAAACAACTAATAAACCAACAGCAGTTTAAAGACCTTTACATGAAGTGTTAATCTTTTTTTTTTCTAATAAAAGTATTTCTTTTCCTCAGTACTTTCAATTTTCTGTTACGTAAAAAATAATATATCGGATCTTTACTTAAAAGAACTTTCTTTTTATTTCACCTTTTTGGGCGTTTCTCACTCAGAGAAATTCTTTTTCAAAAACAAAATTAAATAGTTTTTGATGAGGCTATTAGGAACGAAATGACATATTAATAAGATAATAGTTGCGTCACGTGACGCTTCGACGACAGCGGATGCTTCAACTGCGTGGTGAGAAATAATATCGTTGCCATTCATCCGCTTATTAAAGTTTTTGTCGTTAGTTTTTTAAACAGAAAGATCGTCTGAAATGAGAACTACTTGCGATTTTATTGTCAAAAAACAGTGCGAAATTTATAAAATTGTACTTTTAAAATGAGGGTAAATTTCATTGAAAGTATTATTTGATGGAAGCATTAATCGAAAGTATTATTGCCGCTAATAAAGATTTTAATTTTATGATTCTTGTGGAATTGAAGTGATTTAAAAACAGTAATGGGATGTTTCTTCCAAAGCGGGAAAAACTGTGAAAAAAGCCGTTTCTTTTAACACAAGTGAAAAAAATTAAAGAAACTGTTTTCAGAAAAGAATAACAAATGATAAAGAAATGAAAAAAGTATGAAAAATATGTTTAATAAAAATTCTGCGTCAAAGATTTAATATCAATTTTCAATGAATGGTTAAACAACTAAAAGAAAATATCACAAATGCTGAGCTTATACATTAATACAAATCACATATTGAATTCCCATTTACAGTTAGCGTACTAATATTTATAAATATGCATTGTTATTAAGCATCAATATTTAAACCTACTCTTAAATAATATGACAGATAGATTTTAAACTTATGTATGAAAGTAAAATAAAATTTAAAACTATTATTTTTTTTTAAAAAAGAAAAGTCGTGAAAAGCTAAACATTCTGGCTGAATTGATTTTATTTATATTTAAACTATTTTTATAATATGTACTTGTTGCTAAATAATTAAGCAATTTTACTTTCTTCCGGTATTTTTTTCAGTTTCTTTCAATATCTTGGAAGAAATAGGTTTCTAACAGATAAAATTGCAACCTTCCTTCAGACAACATATAATAGTGTTCAGATACTTAAGTTTTTTTCTAAAATTAAGACTTTTTTAATACTTATTTTCCCTTATAAAAATAATTATTTGCTCGATTTTTTTTAATAAAAATGTTAAAAAAGACAGTACTTTTACATTTCCCTAATAATTTACTAACGCTTACAATACCATTAACAGCTGTAAACATAATCTTACCATTCTAATTTTTAAGCTTACTTTCAGTAATTTATTGGTGATAAAACTCAAATATTTATCACACCATTTTAATCACACTATTTATAACATCGTGGCTTAAAGGAAAGTGACTTCTGCAGCTTTAGAGATAACGACAGCTGTAGTTCTTTGAGATTAATTAAAATTTTTAAAAAAAGTCAATATTTTTTGATGTTTTGGCTTCGTTACCTCAATGCAAATAATACCATCACTCTTTTTTAACAATTATAATCTTACTAGACTAAATTGTATATGATATTACTTTCAATAATTTAATGATGATATAATTCAAATACAGTGACTCACCCTCCATATGTATAGATGATAAAAGATTTATATCTTAAGCGATAGGGAACGTCATTAGCTTTTTAATGAAAAGCAAAGCAAAGATTTTTATTTTTATAAGAAGCGTTAGCAAAGANCTTAAGTTTTTTTCTAAAATTAAGACTTTTTTTTATACTTATTTGCCCTTATAAAAATAATTATTTGCTCGATTTTTTTTAATAAAAATGTTAAAAAAGACAGTACTTTTACATTTCCCTAATAATTTACTAACGCTTACAATACCATTAACAGCTGTAAACATAATCTTACCGTTCTAATTTTTAAGCTTACTTTCAATAATTTATTGGTGATAAAACTCAAATATTTATCACACCATTTTAATCACACTATTTATCTTAAGGGAAAGGGACTTCTGCAGCTTTAGAGATAACAGCAGCTTTGAGATTAATTAAAATTTTTAAAAAAAGTCAATATCTTTCGATGTTTTGACTTCGTCACCTCAATGCAAATAACACCATCGCTCTTTTTTAACAATTATAATCTTACTAGACTAAATTGTTTATGATATTACTTTCAATAATTTAATGATGATATAATTCAAATACAGTGACCCACCCTCCATATGTATAGATGATAAAAGATATATATCTTAAGCGACAGGGAACGTCATTAGCTTCAAAGATTTTTAATTAAATTTTTTAATAAAATTTTTCAAACTGTAAATTGAAATTATTTTTTAAAATTGAAATTAAAAAATTATTTAAATTTAATTAATTGAATAATTAATTAAATTTAATTAATCAATCAAAATTAATTTAATTATTTTAACTTAATTTAATTAAAATTATTAAACTTTTTATAAAAAATAATTTTGAATATATGATAGTTCTTCCTTTATTCGAACGCATATGATACCATTACTTGCCCAACTACTATGTCCTTACCATATTTATTTGTATAGGGTGATTCTCAATGACTAAGTGGCAACATAATTCCAACATATTTATCTCTCTCTTTCAGATATTACAATACCAGCATTTATCCTCTAGATTTCGTAATGAATGCTGAACAGAGTACAAGATACATCAACATATTCTTTGAGCACAACACCGAAGGCAAGATTGCTCAGATTTTGTCTCAGGTTCCGTCTCCTTCCACAAATCTCCTTCTACTGAATGCTATTTATTTCAAAGGATCTCTGGATATGAACATGGCACAGGTAGAAGAGAGTCGATTCGTAGGACGAGCAGGTGAAGATCCATTCATCATGTTAGAAGCAAGGAAAGCCAGAATAAGGTAAGGCGACTACATGGACCTTCGTATGTATAGTCCCAGAGACAGCGTCAAAACAATATAAAAAAAATAATAATACTGCTGGTGCACGGTAAGAAATTCAGGCAGTGAGGGTGCTGGTACTTTTTACCGTAAAATCCATCAGAACATGTTGCAGAACACTTTACGGGAACAAAAAATCTGATTCACCGTAGCTTTTACAGTAATTAAAATAACTGAACTACTCTAATTAAGTAATTATTAAACAAATACCAGCCATTGACTATTAGGTCATTATGCTTCTAGCTCTCCTGTATTTCTTAACAATACAGTCAAAGTCTTTTGTGCAGAGCACGTGTCCAAATGCGCATCAGTCATGGCTTGTCCGGAATTATATAAAAGACAATGATGAAGTAGTCAGCATGAGGCGAAATAAATGAGAACGTAGACCATCATGTCCGGTCAAAAGTCTAAATATGGCTACCGCAGTAGCACGGGGTGAATCTGGAACACTGTGAGTTCCACAGAACACATTCCAGGACTTATCTGTAGCAGCGTGAGATGCCAAACAATATAATGATTGTTTGAAGATTCTTTTAATTTCAAGTTTAGCGGAATGGTAGGACGGATCTCTACAGGATCTCGGAAGAACATAAGTTCCTTTTTTGGCCAAAAAGTCAGCCATTTCGTTTCCTCGAAGACCACAATGGCATGGCACCCACTGAAATGCAACACTTCCCTCAATCCTCTTCAGGAGTTCTCTGCAGCTCAAAACAAGGGAACTACTATTTTCTGGGTTGCTTGACAAAGCCTGAAGGGCAGAGGTAGAATCTGAAAAAAAATCACAGCTTTCTCAGGACTGGTAAGACGAACACCAAGTTGTTGAAGAGCTACATGGATGGCTTTGAACTCTCCGTCAAAGTGAGTTGAAAATGGCCCAGCATATAGATAAAAAGAAAAGGTTTCACAAAAAATACCAGAGCCAGAATCCTGCGAGAAATTCAAGAGAGATCCGTCAGTGTAGATGTGAAGCCATTCATTAGGGGGAAAACGGATATTGATTAAGGCAACAGCACGGAGTGAATTGGGACTTATGTCACGTTGCCGTACATTCAAAACTAAGTCCAATCTGACATTGAGAATCATACATTCCAATGGACTTGCTAAAAACATCAGTTCGTATGGCTCATTGTTGACTACGTTATATTGGGTATTCTCACGAACACAACTTCAGATGGAGTCTTAAAACTCCTTGCTATCTTCCAAAACCAAGTTGCGCATGATTACAGGAGGAGTTAAAACTACCCCCATACTTGCTATGCAATTACTTTGTGACCAACAACCGTTGACTAAATTAATTAAAAGGAATGCAACTATCCTGTATAATATACTAATTAGACTTCTTAATAATTCCTTTTGGCGAGAACATGACTGTAGCAAGGATCGTAATCTGAAAACTCTAATTAAATAAATATTACTGTAAAAATTACGGTATAATATTTTACGGTAAAAATGAATTTCACAGTAAAAGAGATTCTACGGATGATGCATCCAAAGTGCCGATACTTTATACGTAATTTGATCAGGAATTTTTCATAGTGTGTTTGAAATACCAGTCCGAGAATACCAGTCCACTTCTGGAATACCGACCCTTCTTGTCAGTAAAAATAAACAAAACTTTCTAAATGTTCCCGCGCGTACGCATGCTCTTCCCATACTTACGTATGAAAGTCGCAATACACCCTCTATGTTTTTAGATATAATTTTTATTTTTACTGCAGTAATCTACAATTTTAAAATAAATAAAAATTACTTCAAATGAAAGATGTAACTTTTCTTAAAACAAAATTTGTAACGCAAATTTTGTTATTGTATTAATTTATTTTATGATATTTTGTAACTCCTTGAAAAAAATGTCTTCATTTTTTTACTCTTTCATTCTATTCCTAAATTTAACTTAAGCTCCAAATTTGAAATGTTTACAAATAAAATACCCCCCCCCCTTTTTCTTGTGCTTTCAAAACGAAAAAAACTCTAAAATAGAGGGATTTTTGTGTCTTGTCCTTCCCCTTCTTGGTACTTATGAAATATTTAAAGACCAACTGATTAAATGGGAAGTAATTAATGTTTCACACATTGCCTAGGTATTCCATTAATTGACTAACGAGAAACCTAAAGGCATTCTGTAGTCTCATATAATGCTTATCATTGTATAGAATGGCTGGAATTTTAAGGCTAATTATGAAATATGTGAATTATTCGTAGAAACATACATATAACAAAACAACTATTAATGATCTGCCAATCCGACTTTAGTGTAATGATAATTAAAACGTCAAATTTTTCAAAGCATCAAATAAAAATCAAATTTAAGAAAATTAATCGTAATTATCTTCTTAAGTGTTATTTTAAAGTTATTTTTTAAATAAATTTTTTTTAAAAAAAAAACTTACAGAAGCATTTTTAAATAACATGCAGTAAAAGTTTTATGTAACCAATACAGCATTTTATGAGAAATTTGCTCTTACGACAAGTTTCAAAATTAAAGATACAAAAATTGTTTGTTCAAACGAATTAAAAATCATCAGCCTTCCGCCATTGCGACAAAATTGCTTTGAAGAAATACGTTTTTCTGCTGTATAAATGAGCTTATACGGAAAAAGCTTAAATAAAGGACATTTTTATGTATTTCTGGAATCAATACAAAAAGCGAAAAATGTACGTTGCTTCCCTCGAATATTTTTACTACCTGACTTTTAAAAAGTAATGCATGGGTAACCACCAGCTAAGTTATCTTTTGCCTGGTATGCTCAGAAATCCTATCATGCACTCGAAAAGAATACCCCTTATTTACCCTCATTAACAATTTTACTAAAACCAACATTCACGGTTATCACTGATGTGAAAGAGCTTTCCATTTTCTTCTTGCAAACTTAGTTTAGAACAATTCTACTTTTTGTTTAGTACAAAGTTATTACAAAGTGATTACAATCTGTAAACTACGTTAGATATATATTTTTTTAAAATCAAAATAGTTTTTGCAAAATAAGAGAGGAAAATATGCCTATTAAATTTTTTTTAGTCTGATTACTGCTATTTTAGCACTAAATATGTATAAATATGCTTATAACGACAAGTTCGTTATAACAGCGATTTTATCTGCCATTATGAATTGTCGTTATAACGGATTTTACTGTATTTCTTTCACAGATACGGAGTGCATGAATATTTGAATTGTACTGCTGTAGAAGTTCCATTCAGGGGTGGTCTGATTTCTCTAGTGGCGTTACTGCCAAACCATCCAGACGGCATGGCCATGCTTGAAACCCGTATCAGTGCTCAAAGGTTGACCGACATCATCAACTCCATGAACGTGAAGCGAGTCAACTTCCAGGTGAGCATTGACTTCTTTCTTTTGTTTCCTTTCTCATTTATTATCTGAATAATCAGTATTTGGTTGAGAGAACACAAAAGAAATCGTCTGCTTTCTTCGCATAACGGTTGTTGAGTTGTAAGATTCATGACTAGAAAAATGTCGTCAAGCATTAAGTTTAAAGAATGCATTATTATCATGACAAGTAATCTCAAACCCCAGCTATTTTTTGAGCCAGCCGTGATATTACATTTTATTTGTGACTTCAACTAATTAGAAACCAATAGAGTTTTAATTTCGAACTTAATTAGTTTTTAAATTAGTTCTCATTCATTTCTTAAGGAGCTGTCTTATTTCTGTAATTTCTAACTTTAATAGTCTAGTGTCAAATTTGGTGGAGTGAAGATTTCTAAGAAGCACGAAATTTGTTCTAGCAGAGAATAATTTGTTAATTTGTATTTACACTTGTAAATCGTATAAAAGTTTCAAATTGACGCTTGAATTATCGCCGAGGATTTTATTTTTTTCCGAAGAAAGCATAATATTTTTTCCAAGGATTTTATTTCTCCCAAAAAAAGAGGATTTCGAACAAAGGCGAATTTTGTACTCGCAAGAAATGATTTCTGTTTACACTTGTAAATCGTATAAAAATTTCGAATCGACATTTGAATTATTGCCGAGGATTTTATTTTCTCAAAGAAAACAAAATATGAATAAACGTTTAAACTTATACCATTTTAAATGCAAGGAACTATTTTGAAGCAATGGCGAACCGCATTTATTTTATTTATTTATGCGGGGTTAAAAATTAGCATAAATTAATCAGTATTGTACAACACACAAAATCATGCATGAAACTTAAAGACAAATAAAGACTCAATTTATTCATTTATTTTTAATTACTTGTTACCTTACTCGGCGCCTTTACGTAATTAGATTAAGTAAAACACGTATTTAGTAGCTCATACCATCGAAATAAAGATTAACTATATCATCTGGCAGTATACTGTTGCTCGTGGTGACTTGTGATACTTAAAATTTTCAATCAACATTCTCCTATACTTATATCTTCGAGGGTTATTAAGAAATCCATCATAAAAATGTACAGTATTAGTGCAGCTTAATCGGTACTAAATTTACTCATAAAATTCTTTGTACCCAAATAAGAGTATATTAAAACTGCTCCAATTAAAACTGCAACTATTAAAACTGTATTAAATACCATAACGCCAGTGTGTCTATTGCCAAAATTAAGCATCCTATTAGTGCAAAAAATAGTATGGCGACTTCTTACAATTCCCTTTCACGACTAAGTACATTTATACCATTAAGTTAGCTTTTCAGTTTACAGCTAATTTTTTAATTTAAATTACTAAGTATTACCAAAATAAAATTTCTCCACTAAATTCGTTTTCTAGTACATAGCTTATTATTTTGTTTCAATTAATTACTATTACCATAACTAATCATCATTGGCGGGAGAAGATAATGTTGGTGTTTTTTTTATGTGTATCTTCATTAATTTTAATTTTCAGTACGAAACGTATTTTTTTAAAGTCAATGGGATGTCTGCAAGTGACGGAGTGTAGGTATCTGGAGGCTGTTTGATTGCTGAAATATGACTTCCTTTACGTTAGCAACTGTTCTTTCCATTCTATTTCGAGTTAACTTACCCCGCCAAGTATCAATTCTCTTATGTGATACATTCTATAATCCTTAACAAAGATTGTTTAACAATGATTTCAATTCTTTCACCATGAAGCTATGTAAAACATAGAACAAACTAATTATGTATCGAAGTTGTCCGGTACACAAAACAAAAATGTATCATATGTTACAATAAAATAAATAAACAAATAAAAATCTGTTTATATTTTTCACAATATTATCTAAATAAACGTTCATCGTACCTGAAAATGTATGCATTGCTTGCTTTATTTTATTTTGAAACCATCATTGAACTGCCGACCCAATTTTTCTGTGTTTACGACTACTAATGTTCAACTCCGTAACCTTGTAATTTTAAACTCAATCCAAAAGACAAGGGAACTCCTGGATCAAATATCGGAGAAAAAAATTTTTTTGTTGAACTAACTTGCATTTTAGTTACTTGGAGTGGAAAACCACGAAAACTTCCCATGGTTATCCTGACGGCAAGGCGAACCCTTTATTCGTCTACAACTGCGGATATTTTACGTCAGCACTGTGGCCGGTGCGAGCCGGGTGCGGAATTCGCATCGAATCCGGGTCATCTCATTGGAAGGCGGACACTGAGTCACCAAGGTTCAATGTGTAATTATTAGTTATACCTGAAATGCCATTCATAGTTATTGTTTAATACTTTAGAATATGGATATTTTAATTTAATTAGTAAGATCCATCCCCTGCTCGCAGACGCCCCCTCATGATTTCAATGCAATTTTATATGATTTACTTTGCGAACCATGCTTGCTTCACTTACTAAGTTAAACTTATTTGCATTGTATTTAGCGCAAAGTCTTAAGAATTTAAATCAGTAATTAAAATATTTAAATTAATTCCTTTAAAAAAAATTAGTAAAACACGGACTATTGAAATAAAAAAATTTAACTTGAAATAAGTAACATGCTATAGAAAAACTAGCTGAAACAAAACAATAATAGGGTACTTGCACTACAAGAAGAAGAAGATCACGAATACCCACACATGCGACCTATGTTGTCAGCTGATCGTTCATAATCAAAATGGAGAGCTAAAGGTGAGCTAAGTCTCTCCACATAAGTTAGAATGTTAATTAACTTGAAGTTAATTAAATACAACACCGTATCACATATCGAATTTGTTGAAGTTTAATTCGTTCGCTTCTACGTTTTTACTTAACTTAGATTTATTATTTGCTTATATATTTTAGCGTAACCATGATATATTTTTGTTCTTATATACCTGGCTACTTCGATTCATAATTAGTTTGTTTATGTTCTACAAGGCTACACGCCTGTCTTTGTGTTAAGTAAGAAATATGATGTGAAAGAATCGATGTAAAAGAATATAGAATTTGCCTCTTAAGATAATTGATATTTGACAGGCTTGGCTTACTCGAAACAAAATGAAAACAACAGTTAATAACGTAAACAAATACCGCGTTTCAACAACCAATCAGGATCGAGATACGTCACTTGCAGGTATCCCATTATGCTTTTAAAAAATAATATGCATGACGGCACTTCCCCAACTCTCAATACTTTCATAACACTGTTGTTAAAACTTTCTTCTATCAACCTTTTTTTTTATATAGTTAAAAAGCATAACAGCCCACTAATACATATTTTTCAATGAATAACAATAGCACTGAATAAAATTATTACTATTGAACATTAGTATAATTGAAACATGATTAATTCTTCCATACTTATACATCAGTTTGTTTCAGCTTTTCTTTGTCCATGTGAGAAAAGAATTTTTATTAAAAATGGGTTAAGGTGCATATTTACTCTTTCATGCTTATGACAGGTTTGATATTTTAACAAATTTTGTTTATCCGCCAAATATTAAATTTTTGTGAATTATTTTATTTAAATTAGTTAATTCTTTTTTTTAAAAAAAGGGCAATTATTAAAAATTATGCTAGAATTATCTAATAATTCTTTAATCCTACAAATTTCCCCAACCAGTATGAACTTTGCACAATTTTTATTATTTTTATTTCATGATTTTCATTTTACTCGTATGTTGTTAATCTTGCCATTACCATCTCTACCATTAATCTTGCATCAAGTATTGTTTTGCTTTTTTTTTTAATTTAGATTTTTTATACATTTTTTGAAATTTCTTATGCTTTTATTTTTCTTAAAACAATATTCTAAATAAACATGCCATAATCTCTAGAAACACTGAATATTTTCCTGTGAGTTCAAAGTTGTAAAAAAATTTTAAACTCAAAATCAATTTAAACATTAGGGAAATCTGTTAATAGTATTTTTACGACTTTTTCATATCTATGTATTTATTAAAAACTAATTTGAAGTAAACATTTTTCATTTATCTTGCATCAAATATTGCTTCTTTTTTTCTTATTTTGTTTGTTTTATACATTTTATAAAATTTATTATACTTATATTTTTCTTAAAATAACCTTATAAATAAACCTGAGATAATCTATATAACCTTAAGTAATATTGAATACTTTCCTGTGAGTTCAAAGTTGTAAAAAAAAAAAAAATCTAACTCAAAGTCGGTATAAATAATAAGGTATCTATCAATAGTATTTTTACGACTTTTCCAAAGTCTTAGAAATGTCCATCTGTGAAGTTTTCTTAAAATATTTGAGAAGTTTATTATTCGAAATTTGACACAAAACGTAGTATTTAGAAAACGTGTGTCAATTTAACTTCCTTGTTAAACATCTAGAATAACGTAAGTAAAAGGCAATGTTTTTAAAAGCTGATTTATAAACAGCTCTTACAATCACGGAGGGCGTACTCCAGCAGAATATGCAGCTGCTGATAAATTACCTGTTCAGAATGTTCATACAGCTGTATAAATGACAAATACGCCAAATCATCAGAAATTCTGTTGTATTTATCAAGATCACTTGTTCTTTTATATACTTTGAATTTATTTGTTCTTTTATTTCTTTCGGCCCTTTATATATATATTTAAAAAAATAATCTAACTCATTTCAAAGCATAAGTTCACAATCGCTGTATCTACCCGCATGAACTTATTCTATTATATAAAAAGTTAGTTGACCAAGGTACATTATAGGATATTTATAATAATTAATTTTAAAAAATTGGTCTATAATACCTCTGACAACAAATTTTAACTCAAGACCAGTTTTCTTTTTAAGATATTTTAAAGTAACTAGAATTTTCTAGTTTTAACCAAATTCTATCCAGCAGCTTGGCTGTTTACCTTCTATTCATTTTTATTTATATTTCTTATACTTAATTTACTGTTATTCAAACTTCTAATACAACTTGTATTTGTTTTTAAACTTTTGAAATTTAACTCTCAACGTAAAGTAGTTAAAAGGGCAGAGAAGTAGCATTGGTCTGTTTGTCACTGATAAAGACGGCCTTTCTGACGGTTAGAAAATTGAGACTGGGAGGCCCCCAAAAGGGATCCCAGCCTCACCAATTTAGAAATTAAAAGTGAATATATTTATTCTCAACGGACAGAGAAAGAGTATGGGTAGGAGATCCAAAATTTGGCGATTTATCATAATATAACAATAGCCAAAAACAAAGCCAACTAGCATATCCACATGGGTTTAAAAGAACACCTTGGCGATCACGAGTCGCCAGCAAATTTATGTGAATTATTATAACCATGCAACCGAAACATTTAGCCGTTGGAAAATTAGAATAAAAAGTTATAAATAGATTTTTGTTTTCGATTACAGGCGACAGTGAATTAATATGTCTGCATAATAATGAAATAAAAAGAAAGTATCCGTTACATTGATCTGGAAGAGAAGAAATAAATATTTTATGTTCGCTTAAAAAGATTAAGTTTTTGNGTAGCATTGGTCTGTTTGTCACTAATAAAGACTCTCTTATGAGATTTATTTTTAAAGTTTTGAAATTTAACACTTCACACATATTAGTCAAATCATCAGACCAATGGCATTGGCCTGTTTTTCACTAATAAAAGAGTGTCACTTTATGAAATTTATTTTGAAATTTAACACTCCACGTTTTCTGAAGTTCATTAAAATATCATCAAACATGTTCTTCGAGTATTTAAAATTATTCTGCATTTTTTCCATTGCATTGACAAATTATTCTCAATTTCGCAGATGCCGAGAATCACCATTAGGCAAACACACGGCAACTTAACCAAGGCCCTCTTCAACTTGGGACTCGTCGATTTGTTCACTCCCGGATATGCCAATCTTTTTGGAATCAGCAATTTCGGATGGCTCCATGTCACCAATGTCACTCATGCCGCCTACGTTGAAGTCAGAGAAGGTCCCGTCGCCCATTCGAGTGGACAAAGCAAACCAGATCAAGATGTCTCTGTGGTCTTGGATAGACCTTTCCTATGGTTTGTCATGGACAATGTCGCTGGTTTGGCCATCGCCATGGGTAAAATGGTGAAACCAGGAGATGATATGTCAGAACCCCCAACAAGATTATTGGGTTGATTAAATTGGAACAAATAGTTTCCTCATTCAACCACCGAATTATTAAATGTATTCTGTGCAGCAACTTTTCCTATTGAAGCAATTTTTCCAGATTTTTAAAAAATATTTTTGTTGCCCTGATAAGTTACTGAATGAAACAATAAAGGAGACGATAGACTACTAGTGATTGGAAGAGCCTCTTCACTTTTTCGTTTCCTCTGTAAATATTTGCCTCAACTTTTGTTGTTATTAGAAACCAGGAAAGAGGTTCACTCGGTTCTGTTACGTAACAAGCCCTGCTAGGAGAGAAATAATAACCATGCTTCAAAACCGATATTTGTTTAAATTTTAAACTAAAGCAAATGTTTACGTTTTGACTGTAAGCTCGGTTAACGTTAACAGTTTAAACATTGCTAAATAACTCGGTAAAATTTAAAAGATGACTGGTTATTGTCTTAGTTATCGTTTGGTTCAGATACTTATAAGGGCTTCAAAAATCAGATTTTGAATCCTGATAATGTTGCTGCTTCGTTTCAGTATTTAAAAATATAATTTATTTCAAAAAATGTACAAATTCCAGCTCTAAATTTAAAAGTTATTCCAAAGAATTGCTGGTTCAATTCTTTGGGTATTATTTGAGACAATAAAATGTATTTAAAAAGTATAATTTTGTCTTGAACCGGGATATTATTCTTAAGTCCATACCTTTGAATGCGGTTTATTTTTGAATGATATGCGATTTAATTACTTCTATAATAATTAAGATGAATTTAGAAATAACTTATTGAAAGAATTTCATACGCACTGAACTTTACAAAATAGTTGATACAAAATAATATTAATAAATATATTCATTTTTTTTTGTAAAAAAAATAAGAATCCTTTAAATGTTTTGAATATAAAAATATAAACACTTTTTAGTTTTTCTACATTTTTTAAATAAATATTGGAAAATTTATTACAAAATACTTTAATATCATTTAATATATAAATTACAAAGTAACTCATCTAATCAAATTCCTGAGTTCTGTAAAATGCGATTTTCTCGTATTTGTATATTTCTGCGTCATTCTTTTTATTAGCTAAAAAAAATTATATTAAATCTTTGCTGAACAACGTAAGTGTTTAAGATAGATTAAGACTTATAACCTAATATGTAAAAAAGATCACATTAAAAATGCCTGATTAAAGAAGGCCTTAATTGCACGTGATGTTATTTTTCAAACACTCAAAGAAACATTTTCCAAAAATTAGGAACAAGTACAACTATCGAAAAATACACACAATCTTGAGATTTTTTTCAACTAAGTTATGTACTATTTTTCATTAATATTTTTTAAAATACAGTAATAATAATTCTTAATCGTACCAGACATTTTAAACAAGCGCGAAAAATTGCTCTGAATTAATTTTTACACTCTACACTTACAATTCAAACACTCTCGATAAATTAATCTAAATGATGTAATAAAAGTCAAGGCTTTATTAGAACAATACTTCAAAAGAAATTGTGTCATTAGTGTTAAAATTTATAGTTTTAAGAGTGAAGAATGGCTGGTGAAGATAATAAATGTCGAATAATATATGTAGAAATATGTATGTATATATATCGAAGAATATTCTATATATGTAGAACATATAGAAATATGTAACCGTGCTCCATAAAATATTTTTTGAAAGAATATAAAAATACATTTAAGGCAACTAGAATTTAAAAAAAAAAATGAAAGCATCCACTGAATAATTAATTTTTTGAACTTTACTATGAAGTAAAATTGCAAGATTGAATTTTGGTTTAAAAATATAAAATAGCTTCCTTAAACGATACCATTTACATTTTTTATAAGCCTCTCCCCACGTAGTCTTTAAATATTAGTTTCACATTCGGCAGCGGAATTTACCGATGGAATTTGCAGCATTTTCTTCTTAAATCCTAATTTGTTGGCAACCTCAACGCAGTTTAAATATTATTATTTCAAAAATTTTGTTTAATCCGACATAAATGTAGCAAAATCTGCAAATACAATGTTCTCGAAACTAAGACTTTACAAAAATTATTATTGCAAGAATTTTATTTAATCTGACATAGATGTAGCAAAATCTGCAAATGCAATGTTCTTAAAATTATACACAAGGACTTAACAAAGATAATTATTGTAAAAATTTAGTTTAATCTGACACTGGGTTTCTTCTCAAACCTTTGCTATGTCGAATTTATTTTAAAACAGAAAATGAATTTTTTCACAAAAATCACAATGAAAGTTCATTGTAAACCAGCTCTTTTCTATTTAATGCATAATTATTTTTGTCTTACTTTTAAAAATAAAATTATCATTGCTGTATTTAAACTTATAGTCAACTATCATTACATACACATTTAATAGCAGTTATTCTCATGTTTCACTACTTTATTTTTTACAGTTATATTTTAGAATATAGTTTTCTACTTTTTAGAACATATTTAGTTCTGAACTTGTAATCTCGAAAATTAGCGATCTCGAATTTTTTTAGAGTCCCTTCAGCTTTGAGATATCGAAAGTATCTGTATTATTTCTCGTCGACCTTTTCAAATCGATATAGAAAAAGCAAATCCTAGAATAAAGAATTATGCTTCTCTCATAACAATTCTTACCAGTTCATTTTCAAAAATTATAATTCAGCGAATTTCAAAAAAATATTTCTTCCATTAACAATATATTGATTGAATTATGAAACGGATACTCATGTATAAAAAAAATGCAATATTATTTCTCGTCGAGTTTTACAGTTCTATATAAAAGAGTGAAATCCTAGAATGAAAAATTATGTTTCTCTGATAACCATTCTCAACAGTTCTTTTTCGTAAACTATAGTTCATCGGGAATTCTTAACTCGTTTTCAGTTAATGCACACACCAAAAACATATTCTGAATTAATCTCGATGCCACTCCAAACCAGCGAATTCAGCTGTTCGACATTATTTTTTAACCTATGATGATTTTATGTCCATTATTGATAAAAAGATAACTGAATAAATTTCGTTTTTCACATTAAATATGATTAAAATAATTTGTAGTTTTTTATCTTTGTTTGTATTGTATTATTAATTGTTTATTAAACTAGGGATTTCGTCAAAAGACGCTCGCCGCTGTTCCAGATCTCCGAAATAACATATAATGTCATAAACCCTTGACCACGTTCTTTATTTTTAAATGGATTATTGTTCTTAATACCATTTTTTTCTTACCTCTACTTAAGCTTCGCGACAAGAAATTATCTTTTATCGTCATATGTCTTATCATTTACTTTTACATTCTTTCTTTATATAGATATATTTTTTTAATCTCAACTGGATATAGCTTAATTTTAAACGGCGAATTTGGAAGATTGAAACTTTTTATTTTCAACAAATGAGACAATGCATATTTCCCTAATTTTTAAGTGTTACTTTTTTAATAAATGGAAGGAAAAAAAAAGAAAGATTGAATACGTAACTCAATAAATGTTTTTGTAACATTAGACTAATGCATTTGAAAATATGCCAAAGTAGTTAGAAAGTTGGCTTTGGGTCAAGGTTTCAGAATTCAGATTTTTTTTTTTTTTTCTGCAAAAAGAAAAGCAGTAAAAACAGTGTTATCATTGATCCCATATTAAAAAGGATTTTTTTTATCTCCATTTCTAGAAAATAATATTTACTTGAATAAATGTTAAAGCTTTCACAAAGTTTATTTACTTCGATCACTGATATATAGAAGGTATGCAAATCATCACTAACAAAATTGAACTGAAATTTCACACATAAATCTAAAACTATGAGTGAAAAAAAATGCGTCTACTTGGGGAATCGTTTGTAACTTTTACTATAAATGTTAAGTCGATTTCTTCTTGTCGGCAAACGAATAATAATGAAAATTTTCACAACTTTTAAATCATTATAAAATAGTTTTTACACTATAAGCGTGCTTAAAAATGTGGAAATCGTTGAAAAAAAATGTTTGTATTAAAATAAAAATTCAGTATATCATTGTCCAGCCTATGCTTGCTATCGTTTTTGAATTTCCGGTTAAAATCAAATTTTGATTCCACCGAAAGAAACTTTGTCTGTCTAATATTATTGAATTTATTTATTCGAATAAACTATTATAATTTATTGAAAAATAAGAGCACTAATTGCTGCACTGCGATAGATTTTGATCTTCAATTTCTTAATGCTAATTAATAAAAAATTCGCCCATATAAATTACCGACCTTAGCCATTTTTGTGAAATTCTAATGTTAATGTCTTAATTATCTTTGAAGATTATATAAGTTAAATTTTCGAAAAAAGAAATAAATTCGTTCAAAGCAGAATAATGATATGACTTTATAACTAATTTTTCCATATAAAATATATTTTTATAATAATTGTCAATTACAATTGATAGTACTAGATAAATAAATAAAAACTGATAATATCTCAAAAAAACTTTATCACTAAAAAAAAAATTTAAAAAACTTTTAATGTAGTTTTTTACTATTTTTACCGTTATCAATAATAAAATCGATTGTATTCTTTCAAAAAAATTTATAATAATAATAAAATAATTGGTCTTTAAAAACATGCATATAACTAACGATTTATGTTGATCATTAATTTATGTTATAATTTATAGAATATGTTTTGTAAAAGTGTTTAAAATAACATTAGCCAATTACAGTTCCAATAGACATGTATTTTAAAAAAAAGAGTTTTCCCTATTTGTATATAATATGTTTGAATTTATAATAAAGTATTATTTGAATGATTTTGCTCTTTGCTTGTTCATTAAATACAAACATTTCATAAATAAACTACAGGCAAAATATTTGTGCGTCAGAATAATTATTTGATGTTATTTTTTAACATAGTGAATACTGCCTTTTATTCCCGTTCTCTGTGCACTGTTATCGTAATTAAAGCAATAATGCTCTTGTCAAATATGTTGTGAAGTTTAAGGTTATGAGTAGCACTTCATCATCTACAGTGTCAAGGTCAATATGTAAGCGTGTTTTTGTTCGCTTTTTTAAAGTCCTTGAGAGTTAACATTTTGTTTACTTTCCTAAAATGAAATAGTGACTTTGAAGGACGATTAAAATAAAAGGCCATAGCAACTACGTTCTATCTTGTTCGTCATTTTTATCGCAAGATATTACATTAGCTCTTTATTTTTAAAAATAATTTCAGACTATAATTGTTCATTAATTGTACAAAAAAATACTGGAATCTAGATCGTATGTGGTATTTAAATCAGGGAAAATTATTGCAAAATGCATAACATTAAACTATATATCGTTTACCTTAAATGGAAACATTTCATTTTAAAATAGGAACACAAGTTTTTATACTGAATTTCGGTTTTTATATATTATAGAATTTTAATAACGTATAACACTGAAGGTTATTTATAGATGAATGTTTATAAATCATAGTTTTTTTTTTTTTTTTAAGATTGGTAAGTTAAATGTACAAGAGTTCGAAGAGGCTAGAATTCGCCGATTCAAACGACATTACAAACTTTAAAAAAATGATGTTATGAACTAAGCACAACACAAAAAAATTAGAAAAGGAAACAACCAAAATAAATGACAAGACGCCAAAAAACCATAGAAACGAACCCCACAATTTCACCCCTATGCGAGAAACCCGTATGTTTCCTGACACTGTATTTTATACATTAATTTCAGTATATCCTTCCGTATTTCAGGGTATCAAATTTTTAACTATGCAAAAAAGGAGATAACTTTGAATTTTAAAAAAAAATTGTTGGATAGAGTTCTGTTCATTTTAAAATTATGGTGGAGGATTTTCAAAAAGTATAACACAGAAAATATTACAGTACCTTTATTACGTTATACAGTTAACGTTTTTGAAATGGCGCACATAGATAATTCATAATTGCCCTTCAGTGATTTGAAATATCGTTCCAAATTATGTTAAAATATCATTTCGAATTCGTTTAATTTTTTTTTTTTTTTTTGGCAATAATCAGGTTTTAAAATTTTTTAAAATAAATTTTTTGTTTATTAGAGCGGACGAGTGTTAAAATCCCTTTGGCCTTTAAGTTTTATTTAAGTCATACTGTGGTAAAATGTATAAAATAAAATAACATAAAATTTAAATAATGTGTTATGCATAAATATAGATGATTCCTTATCTCAGATTGAACGATGCTCCTCAGCTATCATTATAAGTAACAGGTTCATATGTATAAGTTACCGCAGCAATGAATAATATATAAATATTTTTTTAAAAGTAATTTATCGTATCATGCTTTTAAACTAAAGTTTCCCTTTTCAATTTTTTCGCTCGGTAATTATGTGTTAATAATAATTTAAGTTTATTTTTATTGAATTAAATTAATCACTAATCCTTCACCAGTTATCTTGAATTCGTGCACATAACGTGGATCAAATTAAGACAATTAAAATGTTTTCAACTTAAAACAATTGAAAGCGATGTTAGACAAACAGGCTGATATGATTGATTAGTAACCTTATTATTCTCAGGAATAGTGGAAAGTAAAAAAAAATGATGGAGCAAGTTTTATATTTGAGAAACATTGCTTTTTCAAAACTGGTTAACAGATCAGTATATCAAAAAATTTTCAATCATATCTTTTTTTTGCTTTGCATTCTATAATAGCAAAAGTATTGAAATTTTGCAACTTTGTAAAAAAAAAGAAAAAAACCCTAATATAATTAGATAAAAATTACAAAACTCGATGTTGACTAAATAAAACCAGATGAATTCTTTCAAAATATTCATAGCTTTTTTTTTCCATACAAGAAGAGAATTTTTGAAAATTAATGCCCCTTTAATGAATTACTCAAAACTCAACAGGTTGGTCGAGCATTTGGTTCATTATTATCATAAAAAAACAAATTAATAACAGGAAGGAAGAGATTTTTGTTAAAAAAAAATATTAATATATTACTAAAGAAGAAATAAAAATTAAAAAAAAAAGCTTTAAAAAACATAAGAAGGATTGAGCAGGTTTTGTCACGAAATGTCTTAACTGTCAAACTTGTGATTGAACGCATTAATGAATTATAAAAAGCAATTTCATGGTAAATGCTAAAAACATTTATTATCAGAATGAAGAGCATTTATAATAAGTAAACACATGAAAAAACATTAATAACACACATAAAATGCAAACATAAATTGTGTTGTTACAGAAAGGTTTAACCTTTTACACTCCAATATCACCCCTGAGTAAACATTAAAAGTTACCACTCTTAATAATTAGTAACCACACTATTTTATCCACTTAGCACTTTTAGATGACCCACTTTATTAACCACTTATATAGAAATTCTATAATAATATAATAGCATATATTTTAAATCATTTAAAGTTTACATTAGTTCAATCAGCATATTAAAATATTCAGAGTGTAAAAGGTTAATATAACAAAATAGTGGCACATCGAACTCTCTGAATTAAGCCATTAATGGCACTCATTATTACTGATCACTGTTAAAGAAATTTTAACGAGTAGTTCCGATTAGAAATTGAATTTATTTATTTAGAGGCGGTCGTTAAAGGAAGTTTTCTTGGATTTATTTTTGTAACGGAAAACTCACGAATTAAATAAATCTGAAAATCTAATTACAGGTGCATTTATAGATTTTATATAATACTTAAAAACGGGATAAAACTCTATATAAATAGAGTACTGCAAAGTAGTTGGATAGAAAATATTTTAAATATTTAAGTTATTCACCACAAAAAAAATTTTGCATTTTCAGCAATTTTGAAAAATAATGAAAATAAACATTAAGTAATAGCAATCTTTTATACAAACAGAAAAATTAGTGTTTATTATTTAGATTTATTATTTCTTTTAGATTTATTATTATTATATTTTATTATGTTTTCCTCTTTCAGTTTAAAAGTTTAAAATCACTGTAAGCTAAACACCTCATCATTAAAGAGACACACAACATTGACATCGAATTGATAAAAATGGAAGTTTAAGAATATATTTTATTCATCACAAGTTTTAAGCTTTAAAATATCTATAACATGGGCATCATTACAAACTTAGAGTTATCATATAGTTTTTTTAAATATTGTAAAATGTAACGGAAAAAAATAGAATGAAAAAGGAAGGATAAAAATAAATCATAAAAGCATGGCACATTTTTCTTAAGCAGGGAAAATTAATAAATAAGTTTGCCTCTCTCCTTCCCTCTAAAAGATTTAAAAACTGATAAAAAAAATTATTTAATTTTTATTGATCCCTTATTAAGAAAATTTAAACACTTTCATAATATTATTCACTGATTTAGATAATAATTTGGCAACATACATATATAATCACTTACAACACAAATTTCATTTCTAACAATTTTCTAAAAAGTTTTCATTGATTTCATATGCTAAAACATTTATAACAATTTAAGAAATAACAAAAAAGGAATTTTACTAACTGGGATAACACTAAGATAACCTTTCACTTTTAAAAGGCTTAAGTCAAAACTCATCATTCATTATTATTATAAAATATAATAAACATCTGATCCTAATTATAGATTATAAAAATACAATTACAAGCTACTTTACACAGCTGCAACAAAAATTTTCCATATACCACCAATCATAAAAAACATTCATAAATAATTCAATGCATATATTTTTTAAGCACCATTTCGATTTTCATAAAACAATAAAATAAAATCATAATAAATTATTTGCATATGATAAAGCAACAAAAAGCAGCAGAGAACATTGTTTTATTTTTTGTTTAATGTTGAACGTCAATCAATTTTCATACTTCAACTTCGAGCACCATTTAATTTTTTTCTCACGATGATACAAGATAAAATACCTATTGACTAAAATAGCTGTTGAAATGTAACGAAGCTGTTCAACAACAAGGATTGAATATCTCAAACATCAACTTACCACTGCAGTTGAACAAATTATCAGTAACTAAAATAACGGAGTGAGAAAAAAAATAATTGAAAATCTACAATCTTTTCAAATCACTTTACAAATCATGATAATTAAAACACACATCATCAGTCAGGTATTTGAGAAAATTTGCATAAAAACTTTTCTATCATACACAGTTTATTTGACATAACAGAAAAAGGAAAATGAATTATAGAGGAAGAACATAACGACAGTATTTTATTTTGTTTCCCCAAATAGTCAGCAGTTGAAGAATTAGTGCAGGTAAGAAAAAAAATTAGTGATCAAAAAGTTAAATTTAGTTGCATTCAATGGCGTAATCTCCTATTAGATCTTATATTTTATTCTGCAATGTTATGACAATATCTTCCTGTTGAAAAACTTGTTCAAAAAGTTATCATGAAAAAATTATTCATTAATAAGTAACGAACACTTGAATAAAATATGCACGCAATTACAATAAAAAATATAACACAGTTTGTGTAAAAGAATGGTTGATTGATTAATAACAATAAATTCGGTGGAGTAGTAAACAAAAATGCAAATTTCATAATTATTACTCTATCGGCTTAAAAATAAACTACTTAACTTCAATTAGACAGATTTAAAACGTCAGAAATAAACTAGACAAAAACTAAAGACATATTTCAAATGCAAGTAGAAATAATAAAATAGAGGAAATATTTAAGTTGATAAAAAGAAGCTTATTTTATAATAGACAATTTGAAGATAAAATTATCGAAAAAAATAATTTCCAACGAAGTATGAATTGCAAGGTAATAGTATTCTAAGTAAATTATTGTACTATTAAAACCTATTAGCAATTTCAAATTTTTTTTAAAAAATTTATTTTTCCTACGAGCTCTTTAAATTGAAAATCACAGAGAAAATACTAATAATTTTATTGAAAAAATATAAAATTATATATTTTTATTTAGGAATTTGAATATAGAAACATTAAACTTTTTTTCTAAATATACATAACAAGGACATCTCTTTTTTTTAAATTTGCATAAGCAATTTAAACTCCTTCTGCTAATACTTGGTTTAAACGGTCTAGGAAAATATCGACATGTTTTAATTCAAAAATCAAAGCCGTTCTTATTCTAAGTGTTTGTTTACCACTTCCACCGCAATGAATACCTCTTTTGTGAAGAAGTTTTATTGCTTTATCTCTTGTTTCAGGATTAACAAAATCCATTGCAGTGAATGTACCTCTACCTCTAACGTTAAACAGTTTACTTGAATGTCTCTTTTGAGTATCCATCAATCCAGACATTAAATGCTTTCCAGTCATTTCCATATTTTTCAAAAGATTCTGCTCTTTAACAACTTTTACGACTTCTTGCAATAACACCATTTTAGAAGGGTCACCGAGCCAAGTATTAAAAACTCTATATCCTTCCTTAGGTCTGAATTCTTCTCTGTAGTAGTAACCGCCGGTTAACATTTTTTTGCTAAAGGTAACAACATCGGGTGGTACATCGAGTCCCCAATGCTCATGAGCCCAAAACTTACCAGTGGGTCCACCACCAGTTTGAACTTCATCACAGATAAAAGCAACTCCTTTCTTCAGGCAAAGTTGGCGCAGTTTGCGGAAATAATCGTCTGATGCGTGATTATCACCCCCTTCAGCTTGTATGGGTTCAACAATTAAACCAGCAACAGGTCGTTTTTTCTTGTACTGCTCAATTAGCTCTTCCACGTGAGCTAAGGACTTCGCGTCTTCTGCAGCATTTTCTTTAGTATGTTCTTCTAATGGATACTTATACTTAGGAAAATGGGCAATGGGCCAATCAAATGACGGGACATCTAACTTATGGATGGGTTTTGAATGGGTAGTTGCCAATGCACCAAAAGTACGCCCATGAAAACCTCCCATAAAAGAGAGAATGCTTAAGTCAGGAGCACCAGGTAGTTGATTAATCATGCAACTATCCAATTCTTGTTGCGTAGGTGGTTTACCCCCACGTTCCTTATTCCTGTACCAAAAACAAACAGCTTTATAGGCATTTTCATTCGAACAAGATCCACAAGCCATGGTCTGGATTTCTTTTAATCCAGGAGGTGCAATAGACATAAGCGTAGTATTCAACTTCTCAACAAAATTACTTGGAGGTAAAATCCCCAATGCCGGTCTATTGACAAATGCCTCAAGATTGGCTGGATTTGTCACTGCATTTATCATAGCAGGATGGTTGTAGCCAAGCGGCAAGGAAGAGATTTGATTATATACATCCAAATATGTATTTCCATCAACGTCGCGTATATAATTGCCATACGATTGGCTGTAATCGATAAAAAGCTGCACAGCTGCGGAGTTTTGCAACTGACTAAGTTCATTTTTTAAAGATACGCTTTTAGGTCCTGGAACCTCTGCAGTGACAACTTTAGGTCCTTGTGGTTCAGAAGCCAAATAACTAGAAGATGAAACTGCAAAACGTCTCGATTTAAAAGCTGACTGACATTTTCCAATTGAAAGTTGCTTAAAAAGTGACCGGGAAATAATCCCACTGCTTACAATGCCGTAAGTATTAGCCATTACAATGATATATCAGTAGTACTTCTTTTGACAGACAGAGACAGCGGTCTAAAACAAAAACAGCATTATTTCTGTTTTTAAAGTTTCGAAATCTGATACGGTGGAGTTGAATTGTAACGAATTAACCGTAAGTTAATATTTGAATACAAACTTTATTTGAGGGCTGAAATAATGATATATTGTTTAGATAAGTAATAAAATATATGCATTTTCCAGCTCTTTTGTAACATAAAAATTTGAATTAATTTTTTAGTTGGTATATTAAGCATGTGTTAAAAAGGACAACATTAGATAAGTCGGGCAGAAAAAGACATTTACTCTCGTCTAAACAAAAGTTCCGCTCTCTTAATTTGTTAAATGTTGAATAGATGTTAAATTGTGATCTGCTTTATTTTCATTTGGGCAATTTGACGAGAAAAAATTTGTATTTTTCTTAATAATAGTAGCTTTTATTAAATTTCCAAAGAGGAAGAATCGAACGATATTAGGAAGATGTACCTACTTGAATAAATTTTCATTCCTGTTAGCTATTGATGGGTCTCATATAAACGTAAAAGCAAAGCTCCTATGTATCGAAGGAATCATAATCAATCTAGCACTACTACATGAAAACGTATCTCCTCTTGTTTTTGTATATAAGGTGCTCACAGTCAGAGCAAGATCATCATTCTCTTAAGATTTTTTTCTTAAAAGAATATCTAAGATTATGTCGTAAGCTTCTAAGATTATGTCTAAAATTAAATTCTTCAAAATTCTTTCTTTACCCTGACTATTGCCACTTCCCGTTTCACGTCGACTGTTAGTTGCTGTGGATAGTGCTTTAATTGTCGAAAAGGGACTCTTAAAGTGACAAAGTACTTATAGGAACCGATTTGTGTAAGTGGTGTGAGGTTAATAGGGTTACTCTTGTCCAATTTTGATCTTGAACCATGGGGATCAAAAGATAATAAAGTGGTTATAAATCAACGGGCTATAAATAATTTTTGTAATCTAAGAAAAGTTTCAAAATAAAAAAAATTATCAATGAGACGGAGCAGTTGTTCCATCATTAGTTTACTAGATGTATTAGGTATGTATACGTTGTTGCAGAAATTATGTTGTTGTTGTAAATAAACTAATTTTAGTTTGTTCCATTTAGTTTTGTTTCTTTTACACACAGAATTTTTTATGAATATTTATTAATTAGAATATTTATTCATTTCTAAAGTAGTAACACACGTTCATGAGTGTTTAAAAGAATCTATTAAAATACCAAAACGAAAAAAGAAGCAGATGAATTTGAAAAGCACAACTGAAAATGAGTGAAAAACGATTTATTAAGCACAAGTGGAAACTATTCATCACATTAAGAAATTTTCAAACCTGTTGAAAGCATAAAATAGTTTAGGATTTTGTAATTAAAGAAACATTTAAGGTCTGAAAAATAAAAGAATAGGAATTTTAAATAGAAAAGATGAAATTAAAGAAAATGAAAGCTCTAATTTATGGTTTTAATAAAAGTATAGCATGTAACAGTAATGTTATGCCTTCATTTTCATAAATTTGCAATTAATTATAATTTACCTACGAGATATTTAAAAAAGAAAAACTATTAAATCATTTCCTTAGAGATCCAATGAATAAATGATTTCAAAATGTCAAATAATAAATACAGTACAGAACCCGTTATCCGGAAATCGGAAAACCAAAAAACCGGAACGAAATTCGGTAAATTTTTCCGCCATTTAAAAAAAAAAACTTTTTTTTTCCTCATAAGATTTAAGGATTTTTCCTTCTTTCTTGAAAGATGTTTACCTTACCATCATTTTGGAAATAATCATTAGTGTATTACTTCATCTTTTTTTCTTCTTTTTAAGATTATTTCCAAATATTTATATTTTTTAATTGCTTTTAACAATTAAAAAAACAGCTTTTTGTAGCGATTCAGAAAACCGGAAAAATCAGTTTTTTGGAATAGCAATGGTCCCGATTGTTCCGGATAATCGGTTCCCTACTGTAGTTTTGTTCTAAGCACTCGAGTTTAGAACATGAACTATTGTATTTTAAGCAAGAAATAAAAATTACACACGAAAATTTCTATTCCTTTCCAGACAAGATTTTTTTTTTTTTTAGAAAGAGAAAAAAAAAACATTTTGAGGTTTTTTAAATTTTGTAGTAATATTGTTTATATTTTGTGGTCACTGTCATATTTTTTGCAGAGAGGATCATGTGTATAAAAATGAAAGGAACGATATGGTTTTAAATAATTAATTTACGATATATAATGTACTACTTTTTTCTGAGTAGTTTTTTAGAAAAAATATTTTATATGGCAAAAGGCAGACTTAAGAAAAGATCATAAAAAAAAGATATCATCTTTTGTTGTTTACAGAATGATAAAACATTACTCTCTAACAAGTAAACGAGAAAGAGATTATGAATTTGAACTCTCTTTTGTTTTTTGACTCATTCTTATAATTTATGTAATTTAAAAATTTTGTGACTTGTGAATAAAATGTTATTTGCTGTCATGTTATACTATCATGCATAACCAAAAAAAATTTTTTTAATAAAAAAAACGGTTCTAAATAATCAATGTATGACAGATGTTAAAAATTTACAGATAACTATTAAGAAATATATATTTTTAAAAAAATGGATGATGAATTGTAATAAGTATGCCCCATTGAGGGAAGCATTTTTACAGCTTTGCCGTCATAGTGGGCAGATGTGAGACGTCCTAAATCTGGACAGCATGACACAGGCTGTAAAATATTTTGTTTTAAACTTGCAACATTATGGTATAAATAAAAAGAGATTTAAAAAATACATGTAAACTATTTTTAAAAAAAATAGAACCAAATTGTATTTGCACATGTCGAAATTCAAACAAGTATACAGTGTGTTAAAAAATAAAGTGGACACTGAGATTTTTAAAAACTGGTCTTCTTTCTGATTCTTTTTTAAAACTAGTCATTTTTTGAAAAAATGGCGTAACCAAAACAAACTAGGTGTAAAAATAAATTCGGTTGAAGTACGCCTAAAGTATACACTAAAATATATGTAGAAAAATTTTGGAATTGATAAATAAAAAATAAACTTTTAAACAACTTCGAGTAGGATGGAAATGCTAACTTGTTTGAAATAGCTGTCCTTATAATTATTTAATTTTGATTTACCTTATGCTAGGGGACATTCCATTTTCACATTCGACTTTTGAAATTTAAATTGTAAAGAGAATTTTATGATCTCCTTAAAAAAATTTTATTAAGTAGCAGTAAAAAAAAAAATTGTACTGCATTGATTTTTTTTAGAAATTAGAGAGTAATAATTATTTTTTTCAAATTAAGAATCTATGCCTTTATCTTACGTACAACTTCGTTTAATATCGCGTGAAGTAATTTAATATACTCAATTCATAATCCCAAGAAACTGAGTCGAAAAGACAAAAACTTCAATGATTTAAAAAATAATAGATGATAATAAAAGTAGACATGTTTTGACCGTCCAATAATTAAAGTTATTAGTCATTCACGCCTGACGAATCTTGGGAATGAAGGCTTTACATTTGAATGCTTAAAACATGTCAACTTTTGTTTCCTCTGCATATATTTTGAAGTCAGTGAAGTTTTTATATCAATTTTACTGTTTTACATTTGGGTGTAGATCATTATTTTGATAAGGATTTTGCTCTCGTAAAAGTAAACCAATGCATTTTAATATTTTAACAGAATTCATGTGGTTTTTGAAAAAGTAAGAGAACCGTAGCATCAATATTGTAATTATATTATTAATAATATATCAATAATATAATTATCTTTAAGTTTAAAATTTTTAGACCAGATATTTTGAGTTAATGAAACTGAATATTTTATCTTTTAAGTTTTTGTGCCACCATTTCNAAAAATTTTTATTAAGTAGCAGTAAAAAAAAAAAAAAATTACTGCATTGATTTTTTTTAGAAATTAGAGAGTAATAATTATTTTTTTCAAATTAAGAATCTATGCCTTTATCTTAGGTACAACTTCGTTCAATATTGCGGGAAGTAATTTAATATACTCAATGAATTATCCCAAGAAATTGAGTCGAAAAGACAAAAACTTCATTGATTTAAAAAATAATAGATGATAATAAAAGTAGACATGTTTTGACCGTCCAATAGTTAAAGTTACTAGTCATTCACGCCTGACGAATCTTGGGAATGCAGGCTTTACATTTGAACGCTTAAAACATGTCAACTTTTGTTTCCTCTTCATATTTTTTAAAGCCAGTGAAGTTTTTATATCAATTTTACTGTTTTACATTTGGGTGTTGATCATTATTTTGATAAGGATTTTGCGCTCGTAAAAGTAAACCTATGCATTTTAATATTTTAACAGAATTCATGTGGTTTTTTGAAAAAGTAAGAGAACCATAGCATCAATATTGTAATTATATTATTAATGATATATCAATAACAAAATTATCTTTAAGTTTAAAATTTTTAGACCAGATATTTTGAGTTAATGAAATTTAATATTTTATATTTTAAGTTTTTGTGCCACCATTACAGTATCTTAAGGACCTTACAAATGCTGTTTAAAAGGAGAATATCGTATCAGATACATATATATAAGAAAAGAAAGAAATCATAGTAGCGCTATTTGGTTATAAATGTAACTTATCGTAATTGAAGAGCATGCTCTGTGACATTTTATGGTGAATTTGCAAAAATAAGTTTTAGAATGTATCGAAACATCAGGATGCCATTTGCAACTCATCTTTATCCAAAGAGTTATGTTTCGGTTTTTCGGTAGTTACTACTACGGATTTCACTATTTTTAATTTGATAATATTTGTAATTTGATGATTTAAATTTGATGATAACTTGCAAAAAGAAGGGAAATAATCAGTGTGTTTTCCCCTACAAAATGCAAGAATGTCGCTAATAATATTAGAATTAAAAAAAATTACCTATTCAATTAAAAAAAAAAATTACATTATTTTTTTCAAAAAAGTTTTTTTTTTGAAGTTGGCGTTTTTGTTACTTTAAATTAGTAACATATATATTTATTATTAAAAGTATCTTTCAGAAAGATATTAGTACTAGAGAGGTATGCCGCAGAAAGCCCGAATAAATTCTGCCACAAGGATAATATTTAAACATTCATAGTAAATTACGAATAAGCAATTTCTCTCATATGTAAATTATTCTGCTGCAAAATGTAAAGTGTCGGATTATGAAGTGGCCATCAAACAAGGTTTGCAAAAAATCATGTTAAAAAATAATAAAATTCAGATTTGTTTGATTCAAATCAAATTTTTTTACAGTTATCAACACCAGTCAGATTTCAAACAATAATAATAATTTTAAAAAAATTATTATTTGACAATAAAAACATTTTAATAAACATAATACTAAAGTTTAAAAGTCAAGTGCAAATTTATAACTGTCATTAATATTATTGAGATAAAGTTAAAATAATCTACTTACAATTTTGGTTCCAACTCTAGTTTGATTTAGAAAAATCAAAATATTAACTTTGTAAAGTAAAACTGCAGAGATAGATATGTACTTTATTTATGTCGCACTAGCGCTGCACAATGCTCTATTGGTTAGGGTCTGGGAAACATCCCTGATGATGATCTGAAGACATGCTATCTCAATTTTGACCCTCTGCAAAGGGGATGGCTCCCCTGCTTTGGTAACCCGACGACCTGCGCTCAAGCACTTTACGGAAGAACAGTTTAACGAGGACTGATACCGCGCACCTTCTGTCACTACGCAGGCTGATCAAAGAGGTCACTCACCTGTGCAAGTGATGCTTGACTTCAGTGTTGTTCTGGAAATTGTGTCCTTATGATCAGTCCACTGCAAAACAAAACTGAATAGAAAAAAAAAGTTTTTTTAAAAATTAACTCTTTTATTTATTAATTTAAAAATTTTTAATTAGAGGTTTACTTGGCATTTTTGTTTCTCTTATACTCTTATTAAGAATCGAATAATTTAGAATATCAGCACAATTGCTTTAAGTTATACTTTTAACTACATTAATACCTAAATTTTGTTTATTTAAAAAAATGGGAAGTTTTTATTAAAAAAATGTGATTATAAATCAGAATTTGTTTGCTTAAAAGATAAATAGCAATTTTTAGATAGAATAATAACAATTATACTAACATAATTAAAATATTAAATCAGGGATGGGGAAACTACGGCCCGCGGGCCAACTGTGGCCCGCCGGAGGATTTTATACGGCCCGCGGATAGAATTTTTATTTGCCGATCAGCGGCAAATATAAACAATATACATTCATTTTATTGTCGACTATGTTTAAAATTATTTCTGTTTTTCCTTTTTTAACAAAGTACTGATGACATTTTTACTTTCTCTATTTTTGTTCTACAAAACATAAATTGATGGAAATAGTTAGCACAGACAGCTTCTATTGGTAAAATGTTGAAAGCAGAAGTTCTTTATAGAATAGCCGTAGATTGGCTCCAACTAGCGTTTGTCTTTCTCGAGGAGCTGACTTATGGAATCTAATATAGGTAAATTGTACTTCACATTTGGCAGACTGCGTATTTTACACTCCAAAGAGCGGACAATCTAACAATCATCTGAAGCAGTTGTTTCTAAATATGCCTAAGTTTGACAAATCATTACCAAAAGCTAGTTTCCAAAATTTAAAATTTCACGCCCAGAAAATCAGTGCTATGTTAGCTTAATCTTATATACGTGAACAAGAGTTTTCAATTATGAACCTTAGAAAAAATTATTTCAGAAGTAGACTAACAGAAAAGGATTTAGCCTTGTTCCTTAAAATAAGCGCATTTCCCTTCGAACCTTAATATAAGGAACTTTTAGAAATGAAATCGCAATTTCCTTCATCCCACTAAATATTTAAATTAAAACTTGTATATCGCTTTTTTTTCTTTCTTAAATTTTGAAAATCTTACTTGGCCCACCAAACATTTTTTTTTCTTGATTTTTGGCCCTCGACCAAAAAAGTTTGCCCATCCCTGTATTAAATGAATAAAAATTTCTAAATATTTCTTCAAAATTTTAAATATATAATTAATTTTCTTAAAAATATGAATTAAATTTTCAATTAAAAAATAAATATTGTTTAAAATTATTTTTCTATATTTATTTATTAATTCTTGATATATAGTTCTTTTAAATAATTTAAGTTAGAGTACAGTATTTATATTTTTCAAGCAATTACAATTTAACTCACTGACAGTTCTGCTCATAAAAAGTCGTATTTTAACTTAGTCTTCTCTAAACAACAAGATCGGTTTTTCCATGTTATTAAACAGGTAAATGGTATATTGGGGAGAAACACATTCTCCCAATTTTGCCCTTTTGTTAAAACTGTCAATAACTTTGTTTTTATTGCTGGTGGTTGATTTCTATGCTTAAATATATGGTCTTAATATAAAAATTATCAACATTAGGTTAATTATGAAATGAATTTTTTCTCATTGTCTTAGGCCAAAGTTTCATTTTGAGAAAATCATCCATGGCTGAAATGTATAGCTAATTATATATCTAATGAACTTTAAAGACAGAGAGACAGTTTGTCAATTAAATATCTAAAGGAGAGTTTAAGTTACTCTGATTAGAACAAATCTTTTTTCATTATTTATGTACAGTGCAAAAAAATAAATGGTTTCCCCTAAATAACTCTAGATATAATGATCAGATCTTCATGTTCTAGGGCTCAATCTTAAGGATTCGAGGAGGTGACCTCAAATACGCTAAAGCTGACGATATTTTTAGTTAGTTAAGAAATCGGACACAAAAACATACTTTGTCTAAATAAACATATCTTTTTTCGACGGATTCGGTTTTCTGACTCCCAAAAAAAAGAGGGTAGCCACAATGTGAGAAATAGGGTCCCCTTAGTTTAGTCGAAAGAATGCTCCATACGTTGGTTCCTTTATTGTTAATTTTACTCTTTACATTCCATACCTCGAGAACTTCTTAAGCAAACTGAAAATTTATTGCACACAATTAAAAAATTCTTTTATCTAAAAATAATTCAACACTCTAATTAACTCTTAGTAAATATTTATAATTATTTTAATTAATAAGAGACGAAAAAATTGTAATTATAAGGTATAAAATTTTTTACATCATTTTTAAGAATGCAATTTGCCATTTGAATGTAATTTTAAATTTTTACATGGAAAATTACATTCTTTAAAATGATGTAAAAAATTGTGTGCCTTACAATTCAATTTTTTTCGACTATTATTAAATAGAATAGTAAATATATCAATATCATCATCATGAATGGCTCGACAGCCCAGGGTGGGCCTTGGACTTCTCAAGAAGTTTTTTCCTGCCAGTGTGTTCCAGTTTTTAAGACCAAAATGTCTTTTTCTCAGCCATCTTGTAAATATTTACTAAACGTTATTTTTTGCATAGAATTATCTTAGGACAAACAAATTTTATAATTGCGAGCAAAAATGTTTCAGTTTCCCAAAAAGTAAAATTTACATAAAGGATTTCTAACTTTGGATCACCCTCCTTACTTAACTTTATGGGAACTATATTTCCTAGATCGCGGCTACCATCCATATTTTGGGAATCAGGAATCCAAATTCGTTGAAAAAAAGGAATATTTATACAGAGAAAGTACGTTTTTGTGTCTGATTTTGCAACTTAAAATATCGTCTGTACTAATTATTTAGCATATTTGAGGTCACCCCCTGGAACCATTGAGATTCAGTCCTAGAACCTGAAGATGTGATTATTAAATCAAAAGTTATACAGAGTGGTCAGTTTTTTTTTGCACTGTACATTAACTACAAATTTACTAAGTTTGAAAAGAACTCATATTCAAATAAACTAATGGGTATAACTATATAAAACTAAATGGGTATAACTGAAATATGTTTATTACTGCAAATTCAGTCATTTTTGAAATGTAATAATTTATCCAGTTCATTATTTTCTTGTAGAAAACTTTTACTATTAATAATATCACATTTTTATAATTTTTTTTATAAATTATATTGTGTAAAAAAGATTTTAGATTTAGACTGAATTTTTTTTTTTGAAAAAAATTCAGTTTATTTAAATTGATTTTTTTGTAAATATTATAATTTATTTAAATCAATGACTTTTTAAAGAAAAATCAAGTGACTTCATGATTTAAATCATGCCATCAAGAGAGAGAAAATGACACTTTAAAACAATAAAATTTATTTATTTCCCCATGCATATTTTTACAAAAATTTCGACAAATAGAGAATAAACAATGCTGTTACAAAGTTGATAAATTTATTCATTACATATTGTTTTACTTAGCATCACAGTCTACAATAATATTAATTTTGTTTAAATTCAACCATTTGTGTTTCTCCTTTCTAAAACTATATGCAAAGAGTAGAGCATAAATTTACAAGAAATAGTTAAAGACCTACATTACTTGCCTATTATTCCCTTCAAGTTATAAATTCGAAATTCTGCTTAAACTAACAATTGTCACCACTGTCTACAATATTTATTTCTCGCTAAAACTTAGCAAAAAGTAGAACTGAAATTTACAAGAAATAGAAAAAAGTCATGAATTTTTTTTTTCTTTCCTGTTTTAATTATAAATTTAGAATTCTAGAAAAAGTGATTGAACAATCTATTCTTTGCTTACACATATATTTATTTGACATCTCAGTTTGCAATAATATTTATTATGTTTAAATTTTGTCTTTTGTGTTTTTTCCTCTTAAAATAATGGCAAAGGAAATTAACATAAATTTATGAGAAACAGGAAACAGTCACATTTCAATTGTTTTTGTTTTGATAATATGATTAATTAGAAACAGAAACAAAATAAAGTGATTTAATAATTTCTTCCTTATTCTTTACAAATATGCAAGAAAATAACACAAATTACCTTTTTTTAAAAAACAAATATCTATTTAAGATTGGAAAGGAATAAATTTTATGGCACCAAATCCAATTATTTATCAAGAATACATATAAACCAAGAATATAGTTAATTAGGCAAAAAGTACCCACAACTATCCAGCACTAATAAAATAAACATTTGTGCAAGAAAATGATAACTATTAGTTTAGATGTTAGAATTTAAAAAAAAAAAAACATAACTAAAGAGATTTACATATTTTACTGATTTATGAATCTTAACATTTCATCAAAATACGTAAATTTATAATTTTTAATATTAAAGTATAAAATTTTAATAGCATAAATGAAATACATACAAAATACTCTGATTTTCAACAATAAATAAAAAGCACCATACCACAAAAATGTGCTGATTTTTGTAAAGAGAAAGTAAAGCAATATTAAGTACAGCAACAAAGCTAGAATGTATAACAGTAATAAAATACTTATGTACAATAAACAATAATCACGATGCATCACAATTTAACATTCCTTGAACCAATCCAACAATCAAAATTGTGCTTCTATCACTAATACTAAAACTTCTCATCTATCTCTACAAGGTATGAATATTTCTTTTCATTATTTAATACTACATTTGGAGCATAGAAAGGGTCAGATTTTACAACTTTTTCAAAAGACAATCCTCCACTATCAAATGAATGAAGCTTATCGAGAAATCGTTCGACCGTAGACGAATTAGCTTCGAGCTTCAAAACTGGCATATTAAATGATTTCAGTTCAGTTTGGCGTGCTTTTATGCAACTGTCTTTGCAGCAAACATTACAATGCCAACCACTGGGAGCATCGATACTTCCGACAGTCCACATTTTTAATGGCCAATTATTTTTTTCAAAACTTTTTGCGTCTTGAGAGTGGCAATTGTTTGAAAACAATTTGCTCACTTCAAAGTTGCACATGGAAGAAAGAAACTGAAATGTGCAACCCAATGGTCGGAAAGGCACGAGCTTTGCATCGGTGCTATTGCTTTTCATGCGCATTGAAAACTTAAAAAGCAAAGGCCTAAGCTCGAAGAAAAATGGTTCGGGAAAACCGTCGTAGAGTTTTAAAAACAGTAATACGTCTTTGGTGATAATGGATGATGCTCGTTGAAAGATAAAAATATCATCTGGACGGAAATCAGATAATCTTTTCCAACCAATGTCCCATAAACTCTTCAACATCAATACAGTGTCTTCCACTTCCAATTTATTTGAGACATTCACCTGAAAAGGAATTATTTTACTTTGCCATTCTGCAAATTGTCCGTTTTCAAACCTATTTAAAACAGAAAGCTTTTGATTGGATTGCTCAATAGTCAAATACAAGTCTATAACTGAAAAGCTGTTGTAAACATTAATGTCCAATATGTCTTGATAATCATCAACAACAAACGAGGAGATTATTCGACGAGGCTTCTCTCTTCGCCTAATCTCGATGTTCGCATTCTTGCCTTCTTGTAGAAAATCAGATTTCCAAACTGCAGAGGGAATGCCACAATCTAACCCAAACCAGTTATCCAAACAAATGCATTTCTTCCGCTTTTGAGAGTCAATAAGGTCAATGCCATAAAGGAAACACCATGCCTTTTTCGTCACTTCAGCATAAAAGGGTGCCATGTCTTTTGACTGAAGTAGGGGTATATGGTATACAGAAACATTGTATATTGGTAAAGGAACTGTCTTGGCGATAACTGGTTTTGATGATTGATAATAAAAATATGATATATTTGAACTTTTGTATAAGTATAACCAAATTATGAGGATATTGATAGCAGCAAAAATGACAAATACTTTCTTTCCTTGTCTTGGTTTGAATGGCAAACATTTCAACCAGTTTTCTTCCTTTTCCTGTAAAAAACAAGTCAGAGGATCCTTAACAAATGATTTTAACTATTTCACATAGAAAAAATAATCTTGATAAATTTTACTTTTTCATAAATATAAAAAAAAAGTCTTTTAATTCAAAATATAGATTAAAATAAATTATCTATGTACAACATCTATAAGAATATAATACATCAAAATTTATAAGAATATAATAAGTATCCTGGAAATTGATGCACAAAAAAAATAAATTAGTTAATAATTCCAATTTGCTAGCACAGTAGAATAAACTATTTTATTTATTATTTTTTTTAAATAGCCAACACTTAAAAAAATACATTTTAAAAAAGTTGAATTTACTTGCATTGGCAACTTTATCGCCTGCGCTGTTTAAATGGAAAAATACAAAAAATATTTAAAATAAGTGAAGAAAAGACAAATTATATTTCATTTTGAATTTCACTTCTTTCAATCAATTAAATACTCCCAAACTATATTCATTGCTGAACAAATAAAAAAAATAGTGTAATGTTAAAGTAGAAGAATGTCTGACATTCAAGCCAACTGTATTAGTAACAAGCCTGGTCAAGCCAACTGTAATCACTAAGAATCCCTGAGGCAGAATCGCGGAGAGATGTTCGCAGAACATTATAGAGTTCTTGCAGAAAGATTTTTATTTTTGTAAGAAAAAATTTTGGTTTCCTTTTCTGCAGAAATTTTACACGTAAAATTTGAATTGTCCATTTAAATAATCACTTTTTGTCATGTTCAATTTATGCCAACAGTATTGTATATCTATGTAGTGTTTCGATTGTATTTTCAGTAGTTAATGATTTTCACACGGTTTTTAATTATCCGGATATATTTCAGACGATATTGGAAATTCCAATCGTGCATTTGAATATTTACTTTTTAAGGCAATGATTCTATCGTGTTTTGATTTGGTAACTATTGCTTTTGATTTCTATATAGTTTTTAAAATATGATATTTTTTTATTTCAACAATCAAATCTTGGAACAAAACACACATTTGAAAAAAAACCTTTTTGAACAGTCCGATTCGCATCATTTTGTCTTCTATCTGCTTTTTGGAGATTACTGCTACGGATTTCATGATTTTTAATTTTTTTTTTCAATGTGATGATGATTTGCAAAATGTGATAAAGCAAATAATTAGTGTGTTTTTCTCCCGAACAAAATGCAAAAATATCGCCCGTAATATTAAAATAAAAAAGTATGACATATTCAATTAAAATAATTACGTTTTTGCTTTTTGTAAATAAAGCGTCTTTGCTACCTTAATTTAGTCTTTGTTATTATTGAAATTATCTTGCAGAAAGATATGAGAGCTAGATAGTTCTGAAAGTAAACTTCCCAAAACCTAGCAACCATTATAGCGCAGGATCTGACATGAAAACCTGTGCTAAAACAATTTAGACATACTTTGGAGTTAAAGAAGTATATCTTTCTTTTTTTACATAATTTTATACCATACTAACTTGTTCATTTTTTAATGGATAGAATTTTTATTAAAATTATGTTTTTTAAACTTAGCAAAAACATTTCACAAATTCCTTTTAAATAAATGTTTAATTTGTTAATTTTTATCAATATTTTTACATACTTTAATAACATTAGTAGACTTTACTTATTTTAGACAAAAACCAGGAATATTTTACAAAAATAAATTACAAAAACTAAAATTTGAAATGATTACTATATAGGTAGTTATCAAAAATAAAACTGGATTAACAAGTAAATTTGCTTTCATGCCTTTATACCATAATGAAATATTCCTCAGCAGTGCCTCTTAAATAAAATCCAAAAAAACATGTACCTACTACTTGAACCAACATATTTTAAAATTTAAATAAATATGTCACAAACTTTGTTTTGCAATCTCTTACTTTATAGGATAGAGGCATAAAACTTTCTGAACTATATATATTGACACTAGTGGTATTTGGGAAAAGATTTCCATATATGTACAAATGACAAAATAATCACAAATTTTTGGCAACTTTTAGGCTATAGTATGCAAGAAAGCGAAAAAAAAAAGGGGGGAAAGATCACAGAAAGTGTATATAACTTGTAGCCCCCCTTGAGCGAACCTCAAAATACTTTTCTAAATTTTTACATACGAAAATTCCCTTTGCTGTCTTGATGATTGTACTGATATGGAAATATTTCTATAACTCGTTACCTAAATATTCAAAGATAGGTGATACGGTATTAAGCTCTCTACAGCAACTGGAAACAGATAAGTACCTTTCGTTTAGCAGAGGACTTTCCGTGTGCTGTTACTGCATAATATTTGCATTAGTTCAAATGAGTTATTCATTTGGTTGGTTACGTTAGCAATTACATCAACTAAATGTAATATGTTCTCAATGAGTATATTGAATTGCAGTTCCCGTATCGCAAGAGAAAACAGTTATGTTATATGTACATTATTTAGAATATTATGCAAGTGAGCACATTTTTTAATCTGGAATATACAAAAATAATTAGATATGAAGGAAAGATTTTCTTATCGTGATCTGCAGCAGAATAATTGCCAAATATTGGTAACTTCTAAACAGCGGCCCATAAATATCTAAAAAAAAAACATGACAGAAGGGGACTAGTTCAGGGGAGATTTCCATATCGTGATCTGTAGCAGAATAATTTCCAAGCCTTGGCAACTTCCAGGCAGTGGCCATGAGAAACTAAAAAACAAAAAAAAACAGACATCAAAGAAAGGGGCTAACTTGAAAGGTATAACGCGCAGCCCTCCCCAGACAAAAAACAACATACTTTTTTTAAAAAAAATTGCAGGTGTAAAATCTATTTGTCATTTTGGCGATTGTAGTTGGCATGACAGGTCACGATACAGAAATATCCCCCAATTCAAACCTCTAAAGGCTTTTTTTTTTAATTTCAAGTTAAAAATGAATTTGGCACCTTAGCGATTGTAGTTGACGCGGCAGACTACAATACGAAAATAATCCTGGAATGAAACAGAAAAAACCAGGAATAAAAGTCAAACAAGCACTATTGAGCCGTGATAGCTCAAGGGATAGAGCGTTCGCCTACCATTGAGATGAACCGGGTTCGAACCCCAGGGATGGCTGGTCGATACGAATTCCGCATCCGGCCTGCACCGAACACAGTGCTGACGTGAAATATCCTCAGCGGTAGACGGACCATGGGTTAGAGTTCTCTTGCTGTCGGGCTAACCGAGGGAGGTTCTCGTGGTCTTCCTCCCCATGTTACGCAAATGCCAGTTAGTTCTATCAAAGAGTAAAAGTCCTCCACAAAGGCATAATATCTCCTAAAACATGTTACAGGAGTTCCATTGTCTTCTGTATTGGGTTCAAAATTACAAGGATACGTAGTTGAACGTTAGTAGTCGTAAACCCAAAAATTGGGTCGCCTGTTCAACGACGGTTATATATACATAAAAAAAAAAAGCACTATTGTGCCTAATATTCTGCTTGCAATCTGTAGGTCGAGACGAAAATAAACTATTACAAAATACGGAAGTTAAAATAAAGTTGAAACATCGAAGGATTGATTTTTTTCTTCTTTCTTAGACAAGTTAAGTTTCTGCAATTTTAAAATTCAAATGTACACTTATTTTCCCGAATAGTTTTGTCTTTATAACTTATATTAATATGTTCTACTGCCAAACAAAATACCGAAGATGAAAAAAAGTCCATAATATGATAAAAAATTCAAATTAAGATCAGGGTTAAAAAAACCTACCATTAAAACTTTTCAAAAGGTCCAGTCATTAAAATTTAAAAAACAGAATTCAAATATAAGTATTTTGCTTTATAATAAACATGAATAATTAACTTGTTTAAATACTTTTCTTCAATACTTAAACTATAAGAATACTTCAAAGCAGAATTTCTTTTAAAAAAAATATATATAAATATTTATGTTTACAGCGGCAAGCTTTACTGTTGCCAACTTAAAATCATGAAAGTAGAAAAAGTGCACAAAATGAGAATCGTCAGTCAATTTTTCTGTTGATGGATTTTTGGATCATTCAATCCGCAGCCAGCTCTACTTGCAATCCTATCAATTTATCAATTGTTGATTAAAGGGCCAATTAAATCAATGCAGCTGGCGATAAAAGCTGTTTTTTATTATTCATTAATAAAGTCATTTGACGAATTGAGATTATCATATAGAAAAGCTGCTTAAATTATAACCTTATTACTAATATTTTATGATTCTCGTCTGCCTTAAGCTAATACATTATATATTTTTTATCGTTAATATGTTATCACTTCCATCTAACCCAACTTGATGTTATGATTGTTTATATTTCCACAATGATCAGCTGTATCAAATAACAATTTTATATATTCACCATCATATGTATATATATAGGTGGTAATTTTTTGGGACATGTCACTCTATAGTGTTTACTGCTTTTATTTGTGATAGCTTAATATAAATTATTAAAACATGTGTATGTCAATTGAGTGCCAAATTCAAAGTATATGCTTAAAATCATGTAAGATAAGATTTTCCTTACTTCATGTTTCGCTTTTGACTTTATGTTTACAAATAATTAGCTGTGTTGGAGCAGGCCTTCACACAAATGAATTTGCTGTACAAATTCCTGATGGAGAAGATGCAGCAAATGAAATTGCATCAAAATATGGATTTATTAACAAAGGCCAGGTAATTCAATTTTGAAAATTGTGAGATGTATTATGTTTTTGAGTTTGTAAGCCTTGTTTCGACATTTTTTTTCCTAATGTTTCTCATTCGTGCCTTTTTATGCATAGGGTGTGCATATTTTAGAGTTATTTTAAAATGTTACAAGCATTATTTGTAAATTTACTGGAAGTAAAAAGGATTTTGAATGAAAATGATTTACAATAAGATGTGGTAAGATTGTATCACCAGAACTGGTCATTTTTTGCCTTAGCTTTATTTTTGTCACTTCTTGATTGAAATAAATGAAATGAAATTGTGTTCATTCTAACTGTGTTTTGAAAAGAAGTGAGAAAATTTGCATGTTAATACCTGCTCCAAATGAATCTCTAAATTTTGGTACCTACATGTAATAAACATGAAAAATTGAATAAATAAATATCAGAGAAAGAGATTAACTTGAATTCACCACCAAGCAAACCTCTAAATATATATATTTTTTAAGCTTTCACAAGGAAAGAAACTGTTTGGCCCCTTGGTGATTGTAATTGGTATGAACAGTGTAATTGGTATGGATTGAAATTAGTATGGCCAGTAAAAATTATCCCCAAAGAGGTAATTATTCTTCTCATGGGGCCATAAAAGAAAAATAACCATACTATTATTAATACTAGTGATAATTAAGTAATTGTGGTTATAGGGTACTACTTGTATGGTACTGGTTATAGATATTTAATGTATTAGGTAGGTATTTAATGTGAGTATTATGATAATAGGTTTTTACAGTCCTTCAAAACATTAAAGTGATACAAATGCATTTTTCAAAAAATTTTGATGTATAGACTCAATTGTGGGATTTAAAATTTTTATATGCATTATATATATTAGAAATATTGAATCATCTTTATTGCAAATAAAAATTAGAGAGGGACTAACATACCACATTGATTTATTAATTCTTTTGCTGCACATCAGAATTTGTAATTGTTTGATTTCAGAAGTTGTTAAGATGAGATGCAATATTTAACATAGTAGTGGTGTAATATCTAAAGCATAGCGATATGGGAAACATTAATTTCCACCTTTAAAGAAATTATTATAAAACCTGTAGTTTGCAGCTAAAGCCCTTTTGTGTTTGGCTAGCCCTTTTGTGTTGGAAATAAAGTATTTCCATTAGCTATTGAATTGGATTCTACAAAGTCTTTTTTTTTTCTTACATAATAAACCCTGTCCAATGTATTTATAAAAAAATGATCATATTATAAACTTTTAAAGGTTACTATTAAACAAATCATTAATTTTCATACTTAGTAGAATCTTAGTTAAGAAACGCTTAAAATATATCAGCATTAGAATAAAGACATTTCCTAAAGCTATTTTTCTAATCTTTAGTTTTAGTTATTTATTATACACATCATTATATTGAAATTAATTTCTATGTTAATATTAGTGTAGAAATTAAAGAAAATTTAATTACCAACCATAAATACCTGTCCTCACTAAAATATTTCACATAAAATAATCTTGAATAAGATATTTTTTTATTATATATTTAAAGTCTGCAAAAATTTTCGCTAGTTACTTGTTTACTTGTCTCTATTTGAATTTTTGTTTTAAATGATTTATTTATTATTAAAAATATGATAACTAATTCATTATTAAAGATAAACAATGTAATTTATTTATTAATTCATTATTTATGAATTAATATTATTTACTATTATAATATAACAAACTCATTGTTATTAAAAGTAACTAATTTTGAAAATCATACTTAGAAATTTAAGAAACAAAATAAATTTAACAGATGTAATTTTAACATTTTTGTAACCTAATTAAATTATGCAAATGAAGCTTTATATAAATTAAATTTTTTAGCTACGCCTTATTATGTTTTAATTAGCAGATTAAATATTACATAGTTATCTTAAGTAAGTTATTATATTGAAAAAAAATTTACAATTTAAAAATATAAACATTTTAAATATTAAAGATTATGAAGAATGTTTAACAATCACAGTCATGTGGAGAAAAACTGAGTAAAACACACAAAAGAAAAATTAAAGCAACATGTCATCCTTTTACATTGAATTTTCCGTTATCGGTTGCAGGTTTGGAAAACAATTGATCACTATTTTATCGTAACTGAGTTGAATTTTAGTGGTCCCGACCGAATAAGTTCAAATCTTGGATTATGCATTATTCCTTTTTCAATACATAAACCTGTATTCTACGCAAGCGTTTTTAGAAGGGTTGCCCGCCCTTCGTGTCCTTTGATACGCCATTCCTTAAAAACTTTCTTTTTATTCATATGCCATTAAAAAAAACAATTTACTGTTAAAAAAATAATTACTCAGTGGTAAAATTATCTATGCTTATAGGTTTGATTCTGATTTCTATTACAAACATTAATTTTGTTAGGATTTTCTTTAACTGGTTTAATTTTTATAAGTTTATCTTTTTTCAGGTAGAGGGGTTATTAATTAACTTTTTAAGAGATTTTAATTTTTTTTTTCTAAAAGTGCTCCTTTAAATGTTCATTTTCTCATAATTTTCTGTTTAAATTATAAAAAAAGTTTTCAAGTTTTTTATCCATTAATCATTTATTTTAGTTTACTTTTTTGAAGAAAAAAAAATTGTGCTTAGTGATTGTCTTTTAGTGAAGGTCTTTTAGATCTTTAATTATTTTTTATAAACTACAAATTTTCTCTTAATTTGATAATGAGTGAGAATTATTTTTCTGAAATATACACATAAAATAGTATAAGATTGCACTTACAATTTTTTTTACTGTGTTAAGTAAGTGCCCTTTCAAGACTCAAAAGTGTCCTTTTCTGTGACGAAGCTCCCTGCCTTTTTTATTCCTAGGGAAATCTCTGCATAAACATAAAACTTGCAACGATTTTTATCTAATAAGAAATAGTAAAATATCATTTTTATTTAGTGTGGATCTGTTTCAGGGATAGAATATCCAAATATTTAATAGTTACTTTTATTTTAGATTGGATCTTTGAAGGGATATTACCTTTTTGAGCATCACGCTATTGAGAAAAGATCATTATCACCTAGTTTATTTCACTCAGAGCAGCTGCAAAATGATCCTTCGGTAATATTTTACTTTTCTGTTTTTTTGTTCCTTTTTATATTTACTATTTTTTATTGAAAATTTTAGTAGAAGAACATGTGAAGTGACATTTTAGTGAAGATAAAAAAATCCCGCTTTATAATGTATGGAAACATGAAGAATTTCCAAAGCATAATTTTTGTTGAAAACAGTCTACTTGAACTTGATCTTCCACTAAATCATCAATTGCATTGAAATATTTGCATCATTTCAACATAACATTTCCAGACTTAAAATGCATATAATTTTAGATAATAAAAAAACGCAGTTTTAAAATTTTTTTCATATCCAAATCTCGCTGTTACAAATTTGTTATGTCTGTATTATATTTTCGAACAGAATTTGTTATAACAGAATATTTTCTGAGTATTTATGTACTATCCCCTCGACCATTTTCGTCAAATCTGAAAAGAAATATAGAAATGAGATATTTAAATATTATCTCATTTTTTGCATGCGATTAGTTATATTCATATTTTGACAAATTTTTTATACTCATTTACTATATTAAATTNGGATCTGTATCAGGGATAGAATATCCAAATATTTAATAGTTACTTTTATTTTAGATTGGATCTTTGAAGGGATATTACCTTTTTGAGCATCATGCTATTGAGAAAAGATCATTATCACCTAGTTTATTTCACTCAGAGCAGCTGCAAAATGATCCTTCGGTAATATTTTACTTTTCTGTTCTTTTGCTCCTTTTTATATTTACTATTTTTTATTGAAAATTTTAGTAGAAGAACATGTGAAGTGACATTTTAGTGAAGATAAAAAAATCCCGCTTTATAATGTATGGAAGCATGAAGAATTTCCAAAGCATACTTTTTGTTGAAAACAGTCTACTTGAACATGATCTTCCACTAAATCATCAATTGCATTGAAATATTTGCATCATTTCGGCATAACTTTCCAGACTTAAAATGCATATAATTTTAGATAATAATAAATAAAAAAAATTAAAAAAAAAAAACAGTTTTAAAATTTTTTTTTTATCCAAAATGCGCTGTTACAAACTTGTTATGTTTGTAACAGAATATTTTCTGAGTATTTATGTACTATCCCCTCGGCCATTTTCGTCATATCTGAAAAGAAATATAGAAATGAGATATTTAAATATTATCTCATTTTTTGAATGCGATAAGTTATATTCATATTTTGACAACTTTTTTTTTACTCATTTTCATTTACTATATTAAATTAATATTGAAGAAAACCAAAATGACTTTGAAGCAGTGTTGGCAAAAATTATTACCAGAATAATACATAAGCACCAGTTTTTAAAAGATCTTAAATTGCTTAAAGGTCAATAAATATTGCAAATTTATCTTAAATTATATTAAGTCAGCAAATTTTATATCATAATGACAGAATTGCCATTAGTTTTAAGAAAATTTCTATTATAGTGTTAAGTTTTAAAGTGTAATATTTTAGAGAAATTTATTTATTAAATAATGCTGTTTTATTTTTGTAATTTAGGTTCAATGGTGTGAACAGCAAGAAGTCAGGAAGAGAGTTAAAAGAAGTACTTCAAACTCTTTTACTGGATTCAAGGATCCCCTATATTCAGAGCAATGGTTTCTTGTAAGTGTATTGCTGTTGGTGTTGTTTCTTTCCCCCCTCAAAAATTAAATTATATTGCTTGCATATATTTATCTATTATTTTAAAGTACTTTTGCACATTAGTCTGTGAGCATAAATTATTTTGATGCTAAATTTCATCATTGCGACAAAAGCTTGCTACCTGTTATTTTTGCTTAGTTTTATAAAATTAAATCATGCAGCTTTTCTTTAAAAATGTGCTTTTGCATGAACATGTTTCTCCGGGAACCTCCGGGATGTTTCCCAGACCGTCGCCAATAGCCCATTGTGCAGCTCTAGTGCGACGTAAAGTAACAACAACAACAGCATGAACATTTGTTTAATTTATTTTTTTAGCATGGTGGAGGCTTTGGTGGTAATGACATGAATGTCATTCCCGCATGGATGGAAGGATACTCGGGAAAAGGAGTTGTCGTCAGCATTTTGGATGATGGTATACAAAGTAATCACCCTGATTTGGTTCAAAATTATGTAAGTTTATCTGTTTTTGCCTATTTGTAATTCTTTATGTGCTTGCAATTTATCTGTTTGAATTTTCATATGTTTGTATTACTTTTCTTACTAATACAGTAGAGAACCAATTAACTGGGATGCTTGAGACCATCGCTATCCCGGATGTCTGGATTTTCCGGTTTTTTGGATCCGCCAAAAGTGACAAGGAAAAAGTGAAACACACTTTAAAATAAGAAAAAAAAGGAAAAGATCTAAAAAATTTTTAAAAAACTAATTTTTGAAAAATAATATTTAAAAGGATAAAAATATTTGCAAGTTTGGACAAGAAAAACAAGTTTAAAAAATACAAAATTCGCATATTTATTTTTTGATAGTAATTAAAATCCCAAAATTAACTAATATAAAACAGAACCAATAATTAAAAAACGCAATATATTTCATACCTAATTATACAGGGGGGGGGCGATGAATGGAAAACTTATTAATCTAAATAAAAACAACACTTGAAAATTATCGAACGGAAAAGATATTTAAAAAAGGCACTAACATAAATATTAAAACCTGGAACAAGGCAGGATACTATAAGATCAACAGAATTTTAAAAAAAATTATGATAAAATGTATGAATAAAAAGAATTAATTTATTGAGTGCGAAATTTATCGCGAAAAGAAAAAAAATCAAACGTAGTGGAATCAGAAAAACAAAACTGCAATCTGCTTCATAAAATAATCCTATGTTTAAATTAANTACCTAATTACAGGGGGGGGGCGATGAAAGGAAAACTTATTAATCTAAATAAAAACAACACTTGAAAATTATCGAACGGAAAAGATATTTAAAAAGGCACTAACATAAATATTAAAACCTGGAACAAGGCAGGATACTATAAGATCAACGGAATTAAGAAAAAACTTAATGATAAAATTTATGAATGAAAATAATTAATTTATTGAGTACGAAATTTGTCTTAAAAAAAAAAAAAAAACTCAAACGCAGTGGAATAAAAAAAAACAGAATCAAATTTAAGAAAAGAAAACTGCTGTCTGCTTCATAAAATAATCATCTGCTTTTATTAACAAATAATTATATGCTTAAATTAATAAACAATCTTCTCCTTTTATTTTATTTTTTATGAAAAGACTTTTTAACAAAAGCAGATATGATTCCACATCAAGAAAAACTTGCTAATGATGCTGCATTTCTAAAAAATCAGAATTTATTCCAAAAAAATTATTGCTTTTTTAATCGATGTCAAATAGATGAATATAACTGGTCAGTGAAAAACGTTTTGTTCGTAATAAATAATGCATTATCTGAAATAATAAAACAATTCATCATAATAATAAATCAAGGATAACAAAAACTGAGTAACTAAAGGAGATTTAAAATAAATCTCACTTGGCAATACTCTTAGTCAAAAGTTTCAAGTTCCTTAACTCGGACATTCATTGATATGTGTGTGCTATGCATTTCCCCTTCGTAAATCAAAGAGAAAACGAAATCAGCATCCCATTCCTTTAAATTTGATTGACGGCAGCTTATCAGAAAAACAACCAACTCACATAAGAAAATAAAACATTTGTCCCTTCCCTGCCCCCTCTTGATCTAATGATCTTCAAGGTCAGGGGAAGAATTGAAGTTTCTCTGGGCAAACGAGGAGAAGAATTCCCCCTTTCCCCTTACCACCCTCTTAACTCAACTTCAAGGATGAGTCAAATTTCCACTTTTTTTTTATAATCGCTATACTTCAAAATAGCGGGAAAACCAAGCAAAGTTCTTCCCGGTTTTCTGGATACCGGATAAATGGTTCTCTACCGTAATAAAAACATACGTTGATTGTGGAATACTATGAATGATAAATATTGTCATAAATATATTTATTTTTCTAAGTTGATAATTCTTCTTCTTAGTTACTACAGCCAATTACTGGCCAAGGCCGTCTCAGTCAGTTTACCCCATCTAGATCTATTTGATGCTATATTTCCATCTTTTAACTCCCAAATCCATTAGCCACTTCTTTACTCTATCTAACCATCTTGTTCTACCTCTTTTTCTTTTTCCCTCTGGCCTTTGGAAGGTTTTTTTTTTTAACAGGATTTTCATCGCTATATTAAAATTCATGTCCTAGCCATCTTATTTTGATTGTAATTCATGGTTGTAATGAATTCTCCAAGTTACGTTTTTTCTTGCTGCACCAAAAGTTTTCCTTAATATTTTTCTCTCAAAAATCATCAGTTTCTCTTCATCTGCTTTGTTGATTGCCCAACATTCGCTGACATATAAAAAGTTGATAATTATAGTTTAGATTTCGATGGCCTAAAAATATTCTTAATAATAACGAAGAGGTCTTTTAAAAAATTTCTAATCATCAAGCAAGAATATCCAATTTTTCTTCGTCTTAAAATTGCATTTATTTATGTTACAAGGCTTTAAAAAAATTAAGATGCCTCATAGTTTTATTAAAAGTTTAAAATGAGTTAAATAAAAATGAAAATTTTCCTATTAATTGAGCAGGAATTTCAATCTAAAGCTATATTTTTTTCTAAAATCTTGTTTCAACTGTGCAAAGTGATAATTTTAGAAGTGTTCAAACCAAAAAGAGATCATAACCTCATGATCTTTGTATGGCTGTAGTCTCACTGGGAAGCGCAATCAATTCAATATTTCACTGAAAATCCCTCAGTTAAATTTATTATACTTCACTGATGTTTTTCAGTTAAATTTATTGTAATAATTATAAATTTATTTAATAAATTATCTAATAAATATATTATAAATTTATTTAATAAATTATTTACTGAAAATCTTTTTTGTAAATTTACTTTGCTTTAATAAGAGTCTCTCATTTAAATTTATTGTTCTTCACTAAATAATGTACAAGTGATGTTTTTATTTGGTTTTTTTTCTATATATTTATTTTTAAAATATGCCAATATTTGTAATGTAGCTTATTTGTGAAACACAATGTTTGATGTTTAATTAATATTTTTCTTCATATGATTTTGTCACAGGAAAAATAATTTAAAGAATAAAGTAGTATTTTTAAGGACCTGATGTAATTTATTTAATTCGTTATTATTCTGTTTGTTTCTTTTATTTATAATTTACTTTTTATTATGATTTATTGTATTAAATTTGAATTATTTTTAGGATGCAAGAGCTAGCTGGGATATCAATGATGCAGATTCTGATCCAAACCCTCAAGACGATGATGATAATAAGTAAGAAGTCTTTGAACAATCCAGTTATTTCATTTTGTTTTTCATTTATGATACCAATTAATCAGGCACCTGAAACCAGAGAACTCCAGAGCTGGATTTCAAAGTTTTCTAGGACTCCAGCAATTTCATTCTATCCTACTGGCATTTAACCCATTGTAATGCTGTTGCCTGTTAGCCAAGTTTCTGTAAAAAGACTATTCTCAGCATTAAAATACATTTATGTCGATTGTTGTTGTAGGCCATTATTGATGCGATTTCTCTTCATTTCCAGTGGCGCCATCTATGGCTAAAATTTGACTTCTGCCACGCCCGTTTATGGGGCAGACCCATTCATTCATCCACAGATCGTAATTTTGACCTGAACCAGATCAATCTCCAATTCAGTACCCCCAGAGGTATAATTTGTTATGTGAACCTGAAAGATTTTGTCACCCAACAGATTTAAGGTACACCATTTACTATGAGGGGAGTCTTTGCCGACTGGGTTCAAACTTCCGTTCTCACATATAAGAATCCTTGTCAACCAGGCTATTTCAGCCCCTTTTATAAGGATTTAAAATCAAATATGAAAGAAGATTTATTAGATTTAATTCTTTTTTTAAGATTGGGCATATAACTCAACTGTGAATTTAATTAAATTGTATTTTTTATGTGAGCTGGTGATTCTGTTATTATTTTTTTTAATATTCATTTTCATAATAAAAATTTCAAATTAAAATTGTGCTACACAAAAGCATGCAGAGTCAACTTTAGCTTATTTTCTGGAACAGAGTTGGAGCATTAAAAAAAGTTTTTATTAAAAATTATTTATCTCAGGGTCCTTGCAATTTATAGAAGTTTATGAATACATATTATTTCCTAAAAACAAAATTTACATCTAGATGACACAATGTTTGGTAAAATTCTAATCTTTGTTGGTTTGCACATTTAAAGGTGAACTGCTCAATCTCACCAGTCTAGAATTTATGTATACATATATATTGACTGACTCGGACTGAGTGATATTTTTCTCCATTGGGGCATGAATATTTAGGGCTGGACACTGAGGTTTGTCTTGTAAAATATTGTTTCAAATCAAACTATCATATTTTACCTAGAGTTGTGTGTTTTTAATTGACAGGTATTAAAAATGGGGAATGTCAATTTCATACTTTAAGAATGAAATTAAATATGCAAATATGTACATTACAGAAAGACAAAATTTTGCATTATAAATTATGTTTTTAGAGCCTATGCTTATTATATTTATTAACTGCGTTATTTCGACTTCCAAAATCTGTTTTTACGAAATAAGTTTTTAAATTTTATATTTACATTTAAACTATTAATCTTTATTGACTAGAAGTTATAAATTTTTACCTGTTTAGCATTTTTTCTCCAATTTATTTAGAATTCTTTTTCATTATTTTTTTAGACATGGCACTAGATGTGCAGGAGAAGTAGCGGCCACTGCTAATAATGAATTTTGCGGTGTTGGTATTGCATACAATTCAAGTATTGGTGGTAAGTAAATTTTTTCTAGAATTTGCACTGGATAGCTATAATTTTGTATTGCTTTGCAATTCTTTCAATTTTATTATGGTTTTTAATGTAGTTTAGATGTTTTGCTAGTTCTCTTAATTGCTGTGAAACCTACAGGAAAGACCACCTCTACTTTTGGGAGGCACAGAATTTTTCCTTAGACTTTGTATTGAAGAAAACCTTCAGAGGAGACCATCAAAACCTATACCAGCGACCGGTCAAACCTCGGCACTAAATGCGGAAAAGGTCAAATAATGAAGCACAAAGAAAAAAAATCAAAATATTATCAAAATAAATAAGTAGATTCAAATGCATTGAAAATATTTGTGACGTATATTGTGAAATATATATGCATAAATTTTGAAATATTAAATGTAAACTTAAACAAAAAACTTAATTGCTTATTTATTTCAAATATCTCTATCATTCATAATTGGTAAATTTTATTCATCGATTCGTTTTTTCATGACGCCAACTGAAGTGGTATTTCTGCACAGAGAAAATGACACTAACTGAAATTTAAAAACAGAAATTGTTGCTAGGGCAGTCACAAATGATTGATACAGCCTAAACAAAAAATATAAAGTCTCTGGACTGGCTCAATGTATTTAATATTATTTTTGTGTATTATAGGTGTGCGTATGTTAGATGGACCAGTTACTGATACAATTGAAGCTACTGCCTTAAGTTTAAATCCAGACCATATTCATATTTATAGTGCTTCTTGGGGACCAGAAGATGACGGTAAGACGGTCGACGGTCCGGGAAAACTGGCTAGAGCTGCATTCGAAGATGGCATTTTCAATGTAAATTTTCATTTATTTATTTATTATTATTCTGTCATAACTGGATATGAATACTAATATGAAGCAACTGCTGCGCATATTGTGAATTATGTACTAGTTAAATACAGAATTAAAAATATTAATTAGTGAAATGGGAATAAGTCTAGCATGATGAAACTAATGTGTATAAGTAATGCAAATTAAAGGTAGTGAATGAAGAAGTCTAACTAAATTTTATCTTGTGTTGTAACTTTTTTAAAGTGATTAAGTGTCACAGACAAAAATAAAGAAGGAAAAAAACTGTTGTTGCTTATTAACACTATGTTCTGCTGGTGGAAAAATGTTAATACATGGTGTCTATAGGTAGAAATAAATCTTGCATATTTTATTTTATTATAAGAATCATGCACAAAAATATACTTATTAGGAAAACATTTACATCATTTGAGCCAGTGTTGTAATTGTTTTGTTCTATCTGACTAAATTTTATAATACACTTAATATATATATATATATATATATATATATACTACTATTTGCGAATTTAAACACTGTTTTTAATGACATTTTCTATAGGTTAGAGAAGTAAGCTTACGTTGTAAATTCCTTACGTAAACCTGAAGCCATTCACTGATAATAAAACAATGTTTCGTAAATATTAGTTAGAAAATTTTGTGCAATAAAAATATATTGCAAATTATTTACAGCTTTTGATTTTTTTTTTTTTTTTTTAGTAAGAAAAATAGTTTTTTCTTTTTTTTCTTCTTAATATGTGCCTGAAATTTTATGTCAGACGCTTATTAATTGCAATTTNATTTTTTTTACAAAAATTACAACAAATAAAATAGAACACAATAAGTAAAAATAACACGTAAAAACAGAAAATAAAATAAAATAAAAAGAAAAAACAGTATAAAACAAAACAAAAACTATAAAGCGAGTAGTGATATCAGATGTACTTACATGGAATTATTTTATTTTCTGTTTTTACGTGTTATTTTTACTCATTGCGTTCTATTTTATTTGTTGTAATTTTTGTAAAAAAAAATTTTTGACTGCTCCTCGCACTATTGTATTAATATATTTTGCTTTGGCTATATTGATACAATATCAGAAAGCACTCTTTTTTGCGGATATAATCGTGTGGGCTGATGAAAAGATTATATCTTCTATTTCCCGGTTTTTTTTAAAAAAAAGAAAAAAATGATCCTTTTCATTTATTTGTTTTTTTTTATAATCAGTTTGTTATTTTTTTCATTATTATTCCCCCCTTTTTTTTCATATGTCTATAATTTTCCTTTGTTTTATCTTCATTTTGAACTTATCTAATGAGTTCTCTTTACTTGCAGCTTATGCGCAATAAATGAAACTTATTGTTTTTCTTAACTTTCTTCGTGTTTTCTTGTATTTATTTATTTTGCTCTCTCTCTATATATATGTATCTATATATATGTATCTATATATATATTGCTCTATATATATATATATAATGAAGTCTCATGAGGTAAATAAAAACCAGATATATTTAGATATCATCAGCATATAACTAATATATGAAACTTTGATATGAACAAACTTTTATGCAAGCATATATCAAAAAATAATCTTAATAGTATAAAATAATATTTATACATTTCATATTAATCGAAATTCAAAAAGCAAACTGAATAAATGGGAAAAAACAATAAAAATTCACAAACGAAAATAACAACTGCATTTCTGGCTGCTGGGTGTTATAGGGAATTAATGAGTAAAACGTTTTCACATTTCTCTCAAATGAGTAAAACGTTTTCACATTTCTCTGAAATGTAACAAAATATAAAAATTGTCATGTTCCATTATACACTTACACAACATGTTAAATTATATTTATGATTGTATATTTAAAAAAAATAATAATAAATTTTAAAAAAAACTCTTCCATTTTGGTAACTGCACATATGTGTATGTACTGTAGATTTGTCAATATCTTATAAAATAAAAAATTAACTGTCATTTTTTGTTACATTTCTTCAAATTCTTAATATCTTTAATATATCTTATATTATTTTTATCAAATAATAGCAATTTGCTTAAATGGCCCAGACAAGACTGATTGATTGACAATGAATTACTAACATTTATTTTTATGTCATTAACTGTATATCAGGAACCTGGTAGCAGAATTTACGAAGTGAGTTTGCAGCACTATCTTTATGAATCCATACTTGTGATTAAATTTGCAATTATAAGGTCCTTAAAAATTGTACAAATAGACTTTGTGTTGTTAAAATTTAAGTTATACAGTGATACTGAAGAATAAAAGAATTGAATCAATTGTTATACAGTTAAGCTTGATATCAAGTAACATAGAAAACATTTTTTTTTTTATTTTTTGTCCTTTATGATGTTCTTCCAACTAAGCTTTTACATCTTTATCAGAAACAAGTTTAGTGATGTTTTAAAAATGATTTCCCATTTATTTGTTTACTCTTTAAAAATGAAAAGAAAACTACATGTAAAATTATCTGCTGGTTGTATAATAATCTGCAGACGTGCTGAAAGATTTCTGGTACTGAGATCGGTAATAACATTATTGGTGTAGCCAAACCATGAAGTTTTTACTAATTTTGTTGAAAGGTTCTGCAGTGAATAGTTAATTAATAAATTTTATGTTCTTTTTAATATTTGTAGTAATTATAATTATAGAAAACTAAATTTCTACATTGTATCCAAGGACCTGAAGAGTATTAAAAAAGAACCAGATTTGTTTAGATGTCATCAGAATTCAACTTATAAATTTGTGTAATATATTTGTTATGATTCAAGTATGTTTATCATAGATTATTTTTTTCAGGGAAGATCAGGCTTAGGGTCTATATTTGTGTGGGCTTCCGGAAATGGTGGTCGTTACAGTGATAACTGTAACTGTGATGGCTATACAAATTCCATCTATACTATTTCAGTTAGTAGTGCTACTCAAAGCGGACTTATGCCCTGGTACTTGGAACAGTGCTCATCTACTCTAGCAACTACTTACAGTAGTGGTGCTTCTAATAGGGACCAAAACATTGTAAGTCTTTTCCAGATAATGTAACACTATTTTTATTTTTTGATGCTCATTAGCAAGTTACTGAATTTTTGTCTATAGATATTAATTATCTTGTATGTAATAGAAGATTGTTGTTATGCAACATTTCTGTAATTCTGAAGGGCTTAGTATAGATTCAGTTTATTCATCTAATTGAGTTGATTATTGCATTTTTCAACATTTATTTAACATACAAAATCATTATGATTGTAATTTAGTATGTAAAATTGTTTTAGGATATTTGTTTTGTTGTTGTTGTCGTCGGCCATTAAGGCGCTGGGGTTGCCATTGTTTTTGTTTTCCAGTGGTCCCATCAACTACCGAAAATTCGACTTTTGCCACACCCATTCATACATCCATTCATTCATCCACAGATCGTATTTTGGCCTGAACCAGTGAACTATCAATCTCTAATCCAGTACCCCCAGAGGTATAATTTGTTATGGGAGCATGGAGAGCTTCGTGACCCAACAGATTTAACGTGCACCAGTCATAATTTAATACACAGACAGTCTTCAGCCGGCTGAATTCGAACTCCCGTTCTCACGAACGAGAATCCAGTGCCCTACTGACCAGACTATCCTGGCCCCACAGGATATTTGTTTTAATGTTTTTTTTTTCATTGCATATCATGTCATTTGTTTATTAAGTTTGCACTTTACAAATAAAATTATTTAACTACTGTGTAATTGTAAAGAAAGCATTTTGTAAATATATTTCACTCATTTTTATACTAAACAGTGTGTTTTTGTTAGTTTTTTAATTTTATTTTAAACATATTATTGTCACTAGAAATTTTTTTTATCTGCCGTTATGAAATTTTTCATGAAAATTTTTTGGTTTTGTTATTATTGTAATACAATTTATATTTTTCAGGTAACTGTTGATGTTAGCTTTTCTTATCAAAGAAAATTGCAGAGAAACATGAATCCCGATCCTTCTGAAGTCTGTACAAGAAGTCATACTGGTACTTCAGCTTCTGCTCCAATTGCAGCTGCAATTTGTGCTCTTGCTTTAGAGGCAAAGTATGTACTAATGTTATTTTAGAATTTTTTTTATATATATGTATATTTTATAAAATATTTTATTATGTAAAAACAGTTATAAAGACATTAATATCCATAATTTTTCATCAGTTTTTATTATATTTTCCTTATGTATTTCCAAGCTATAAATAAATAATGAAATTTTCCAAAAAGGAAGAAAATATTTTGTCTAATTAAATGGGTAAAACATAGCTGCGTTAAAAGTTTCTGCCGAACCCAACTTCTGGGAATGAAGCAAAATTTCATTAGACTTAATGATAGAATTTTCACTTTTACTTTTTTAAAACCGCAAAGGTTTTATTCGATAGTTTGTTGGAGTTTTTAAATTGCTTTTTCGAAACATGTTTTGTATTTTTCCATAAGTATGTTCATACTTTGAAAGTCAAAAGTTGATTTATAAAAATACAATATATCCCAGAATATAAGTTGACCCTGTATTTTTTATTATGAGAGCTCTAATTTCTGGAGGTCTGGTATATGAATTAACCACTGAAGCACCAAATGTGAAAATTTCTGAAATTAATTGTTCCAAATAAATAATTGATGGGAAAAGAAAAAAACTCTTGCAAAAACAGGAGATATGCTCCTATAGACATCAAATGGCAAATGATACTAAATGTGTGGTAAAATGTGGACTCAAATGTTATTAAGTGCGGAATTAAGAATTCTTCGATTAAGGTGAAGAGGATTTTTTGTTGGACTCTGCGGATGAAGTGGAATCCATTGAAGAGTGAGATCAGTATGTATTGCAAGAGACTGTTAATGTTACTGAATTCGAGCAGGTGATGTTCTGGAGTTTTTTGGTTTGTTTCAAATGTTTTCCTTGTGTTATATTATTTGAAATACTCCTGAATAAATTTTCTTAACTTTTTTCTCTCAACATTATTTAAAATATTGTTTGTTTTTTTTTAAATCTTTATATGTAAAGAAAATATGATGAGATAAAATGAAAAATTAATTGCATATAACATATTAAAAACAGTTTTTGGAAGGGCTAAATGGATACAGAGATCTTTTTTTCCATTTCATTGTTTATGACGCGTTGATGTTTCATAATCGTCAAATGTTCAATTTTATTACTGGTATATAAGTTGAGCTCTCTGCTTTTCGTGAAATTTTGAGGATTTGACTTATACTATAGAGATTTGACTTATACTTTACAATATATAGAGTTTTCCATATTTATTTTCAAATGAGTATATATTGAGACTTTTGCATCTTGTAGTAACTATAAACTTAATTTATTATGATTACCAGATTACAAAAGAAAATATTGGCATGCCAATTAAATTTTTTTTTATATTTTGTTTTAATATTTCAGTCCAAGACTAACTTGGAGAGATATGCAGTACATAACAGTATTGACATCCAGGTATGAGCCATTATCGAAAGAAGCGGGTTGGATTACAAATGGCATTGGCAGAAAAGGTATTAAAATACATTTGATTTTTATAACTTTTTAGGTTGCCTTCTTCTTTCAAACAAATGAAATTAATAGTTAAATTTTTATGTGCATAAAATTAAGAAAGTAAATACGAAAAAATGGTAGTAAATTGAAGTAAATTAATAAAAACCTGTAGGCTTTTCTGACGAAGGAAAAATTGTGATTTATTATTTTTATTTTGTAAATTCATTGGTTTGTAATTTGTGACAAATTCTGTGTAGTGTTTTGTGATTTTTTTTAAATAAATTATAATAATAACGAGACTTTTATATAAATTTATTTTTATCAATACCTATTTGATTTATATATAATACTTAATTTATGTTTGAAAATATCTTTTTTTCCAATGAGCATCCCATGATCACTTAACATAATATAATGTAATGTTTTAATTTTATTTTAGTTGAAACTCCCATAATATAAATTTTCTGAAAATCAAGATTTAATTATTTTAACCATCATAATGCTTACTTTAATAGCTATTTTCTTGTGTGTGAAGTGATTACTTTATCTGATAAAATTAATATCAATTGTGGCTTGAAGCTCATCTACTTCAGATCAATGGGTAACAACTTGTCTAAGAAATAAAGAGACTTTTTTAAATTTTGATTTTTCAGGAACTATTCGACCAATTGCGTTCAAATTTTGTATTTCGCCATATAAATTACATTCTTACAAATTTGTATGCCTTATAATTCAAAATTATATTGACTATTATTAAATAAAATAATAATAAATAATAATTAAACATTATTTTTGTTAAATTATATTTGGATAAACGAATATTATGATTGAATGCAAATAGTTATTAATATGCTTATCTAATTGCTAATGCTTTATTGTTATTATTTTGCTTGATCTATGGTGAAATAAGCAAAAAGAATAATTAACACTAAACGGTTCAAGCTTTTGATAGCTTTTTCTTAAATTATTGAGAGGATTTTTTTTCCAGATTGTAGCTACACCCATTTTTGAGGATCTGGAAATCAATAATCTGTTGAAAAAACAAGCATGTTTAATCAGGCAAAGTACATTATTGTGTCTGATTTCGTTGCTTAAAGCATCGTCTGGACTAATTAATTAGTATATGTAAAATCGCTTTCCGTTTTAGTAGCTGAAAATCCCATCATTAAATCAAAAGTTATTCAGGGAGTTTCATTCTTTTTACATTGTAAATTTGAATTTCAAGTCATGGATATGTTGTAAGCAAATTAATAAATTAGCAATAACTCACAATGGCTAAATAAAATCTAAAATCCACAACCATCTCATCTCATGCATATCTCATCATAATCTCATTGCATATTCTGTTAGACTAACTCCAGTTTGTACTTATCAGGTTCGAATCATTATTAGTTAACCTTGTTTCACTACTAATCTAATGTTAAAAGTAATTTCCAGGAATTGGTGCAAGCTAATGTTTGTTTGTACTGTACTTTTCGCTACACTACTTTTCTAAAAAAATATTGCTTAACGCTATAACCTATGAAAAAAAAGTGGCTTACACAGTAGCTTTGTTGCTTGTAGCACAATTAGCTCCAACCATTGAAGAAGATATTAATTAATACTTCTGTTAATTATAAAAATTGTTATTTTGAGTAAGTAATTCACTGTAATAGTTTTATTAAAAGTGATATGTCTACTGTTTTCAGTTAGTACAAAATTTGGATATGGATTGATGGATGCTGCTGCCATGGTGAGGCTTGCCAGAGGATGGAAAACATTACCTGAGCAACATATTTGCATTAATCCACCCGATACCACAGAAAGGTAAACAATTGATGCACTAATTGGGAATTTTTTAAAACTGTGTTTATTTATCTGTGTTAACACAAATAATAAAACAATTAGTAATTGTTTTACATTCATGATTGTTTTTTAAAATTAATTTAGTTCATTAAAATTTAAAATTTTAAGAGATTTTTATAGTTTTCTATTAGGAAGCTCTAGTAAAATGAGAAGGAAAGAAAGAAAGAAGAAAAGGACAGCTTTTATGATTGATATACCTGAGCCTATAGATAACTTGGCCTGACCCCCACATATATATTATACAGAACTTCAATTTCTCACACTTTTGTGTTCAATCTCAGAACCTCTGGCCAGCAAAATATTTTTTCTGGCTTTTTTTTTTAATATACAAATCAGCGGATCTATGAACATTTTGCATATATCAACATATACTTCCTTCCATGTCAGCAAGCATTTGGTTTGAGAGTATTTGGTTTATCCTTAATTCAATTTTATAACTTTATTTTTTTTAAATTATAATAAATTTGATGAACCAAAAAAAATTATAATTCTGGTTTCAATATAGCGTAGAAAGATGATTTCTCTTTTAAAAGTGATATCTTAAATCATGCTAAAATAGCTAATTTGACTAATGTTTCAATTGTTTCCTTTTTAAGTATCAATTTTTTTATTTGTTAATAGTGTGTGTTTTTAGAAATGCTAAGAAAAGTTAGCAAAGCAAGATTCTTGATATTCTAGAAACTCGGTTTTGTGCTTTACAGTCATTTCACAATTTTTCATTCTTTTGATAGGATTGATGTGTCATGTAAATTAAAGAAATGCAATTTCTCTAGAGTAATGGTCAAAGTAAAGTCTGTGTTATTAACTGTTCCTCATAGTGATGCAACCTGTGAGAAAATATTTATTTACGAAACAAATATCCAAAAACTCCTTATGTTCTTTGTCCAAACAAACTTAAGATATTTTGTTGACAAGAAAGGCAAGCCGAAAAAAATTTCAGAAAAGCTCTTATGAAAAGTTTTTTTTAAAAAATAAATGCTAAATCAGCTACTCAGCTTCTTTATTTATTTTCAGATAGATTAATTTATTGAATTGTAATTTTTAGGGGTGAAAAAACTTTTATTATTGTTTCACTCAATATGCTATGCCATCATCACAAAATTATCACAAGCTTTTTGAATTTCTGACATTAGCAGGTCAGGTTATGAAATCTGTAAAATTTTCTTCAACACAACAAACTTCTGTAAATTTTTATATTTTATTTTTAGTTAAATTTATATGTAATAATGGAAAGATGATCTATCATAATTTGTGGATTTTGTAGTACTTCTAAATTTGAATAGAAATAGATTTGTTTGCTTTATTTTTCTAGTTTTAAGCTTATTAGAATTATTTGGTTTCTTATGAAATATATAATTATCAAATATTTCTTGTGAAATATTTGATAAATATTTTTATTCAAGTGTATTCAAATTGGAAAGAGAAGTATAGAAATAGTCAATTTGAAATATAAAAATAGTCAATTTTAACTTTCTTCAAAATGTTCAATAAGTATTCATAGTATATATAAGTATTTTCTGTAAATATGGCATATGAAGACTTTCATATGAAGATAGTGTTTAACAATTCCCAAGTGTTTAATGTAACTTTTTAACAATGTTTAATGCACACAAAAAATTATAATAATAATACATTTTTAAAAAAAATTCACAAATATGGCACTTACAACTCAAGAATAATAATATGTTATTATACCTAACTATGCATCTCAAAGTACATCGATGAGCCTAATCATGTGGTTGTGCTTGGCGGATTAATGAACGCAAAAGTTCTTATTATTTCTTTTTTTTCATTGTTTTTTTAATTGTTTAAATCTTTATGTTTTAGAGTTATTCCTTCCTCTTATGGGAGTATAGTAGAAGCAACTATAACAACAAATGGCTGCAGCAATACCAGAAATGATGTCCGTTACTTGGAACATGTTCAAGTGAAAATTTCTCTCTTTTTTGTGCCTCGGGGGAATTTACACATAACATTAATATCACCGTCAGATACACAATCTGAAATTCTTCTACCAAGACCCCGTGATAAAATAGAAGGTTATTTTAGAGATTGGCCTTTTATGTCTGTACATTTTTGGGGTGAATCACCTCATGGAACTTGGAAGCTTATGATTGCAAATGATGGTGGTCTCGAGACTATGGAATCAGGTATTATTCATTCCCTTTTATTAATTTACTCAATTCTGTATCCAGTATTCAGGGAAAGAGTAGGCGTATCAATTCAAATCATCCAATCTTCATTTTGCATACAGGATGTTCTAAAAGTAAACTGGCTTATTAAAAGCACCCAAGGATAAAAATTTACCATAAAGCATTAGTTTGTTAACCACATTAAATGGGAGAAAATCACAAAAATCCATGTCGGTTTCCATGTTACACTAGAAAACAACTACAAACTTGCTAACAAAAGATATATTTGATTAATTATTGCAAGAGCTGTTCAAAGTGGCTCCTGTTGACTTCATTGCACAATCTACAACAGCGTAAAAATTCCTGAATAGGCTTCTAGATGCCAAGTGTAGTTTTGATGTCTGTTAAGCAATGGCAATCTATGGTTTGAGATTATCCAATGTATCCACAGGTGTTGTATTAGCTAAAGATTTAGGGTGACCTCATAGCAAAAAGTTGCATGGTTTGAGAGGGGAGAATGCAGAAGCAATACAATGGACCCTACACCAATCACTTTACAGTAGAACATTTTAATGAGGACTGATACCGCATACCCTCGGTCCCTACGTAGGCTGATCAAAGTGGTCACCCAGCCGCTTAATGACCACAGCCAGTGATGCTTCGGTGTTCTACTGGGAACTGTGTCTTTACGATCAGTCCACTGCAGAACCATATTCTGTAGTAAATTAACATCCTCTTGATGCTTTTTATCATCCCTTGAAAAATTTTGAATTTTTAAACACTCTGTACAAAAGCTTAATAAGATCTCAGTTGTTTTTGTGTTGTCTATTTCAGTGCTAAATATTTCCAAAAGTGTAGAGTATGAGTTTTCCAAGCTCTGGCTCCTGATGATTGTATAGAATGCCCTCAGGTGGTGATCTGAGTTTAAAAAGTGCAGCTAGACTGTCCTTATATTTGAAAATGTGCTCTGGTGTTAATTGGGTTTGCACACAATAGCTACATATGGGGTAGTATCTAGTGGTCTTGGCTGGAAATATCTTCATCTCTAAGATACCTGTAGAAATCAAAACAGATTGCATCTGGAATGGAATGCGGCTAGAATGGTCTGACAGTTGAAAATGTGTTCTGCCCTTAATTGGGTTTAAGGGCAATATCTGCATATGAGATAGTGTCTGATGATATTGTCTGAAGATATCTTTAGTCTTTCTATTACAGATGAGAGACTTCTGGGATAGTTAGATCTCGAATGGAAGGTTTCTTAAAAGTTTCTTTGAACAGTTTGCATTTGACGACCACATTTGCGTCTTCTGAGCAATGGAAGATTGATCCAAGTCTTGGGCTTCTTTACAAGGAAGTCTGCTCACTCATTTCCCATAATGCCCTCATGGGTAGGAATCCACTAGAGGGTGCAGGTTTTTTCATTATTGCAGTTTTTTTTATACATGTAATATCTCAGTCACAGTGTTAATTAATTTTTCAATCAACTAAATTTCCGAAATAAATTTTATTTACACATGAAATCATCCATGGAGACATAATCTATAAGCATATTCTCCATAATATTTCGTCATCAGGCTATCGAAGCGGGGGTGCCATCTTCTCTGCAGAGGATCAAAATTGTGATGGCAGATCTTCGGATCATCCCCAGGGATGTTTCCTAGACCATAGCCAATAGCCCATTGTGCAATTCTAGTGCAACATAAATGAACTACAACAACAAACATCATAATATTTGTATAAACCATCGAGTATTTAAAATATTACTTAATTTATTCATCCGTAATCCTTTCAATTGTATGTTGCTTTTAAAATAAAATGCTTGCCTTTTTAAATACGTAAATTGTTTCATTAATAATTGAGTTTTTTTATAGATTGCGATCTGTTCTCTCTCATTCTAATCTATAGAAATAAGACGATTGAATTACAGAAATTAAATAATTATCTGCAAACTCTCTATGTCGAGTATTAAATACACAGATAATGAGATTTTGACTTTTGGAATATGTTAAGAATATTTTTATCTAACAGATTATTGTTGGATGTAAGCTTACTCTCAAGTAAAAAACAAATTTTTCAGTGTCAAATTGCAAAAAGGCATTAACTTTTTTTTTAACAGGCAAGCTTACAAACTGGTCTTTAATTTTTTATGGAACTGAGAAGGTACCTTATGAAAGATTTAGTTTGCGAGAGTCTGAACAGGATAATTCAGCACGAAGACATACTTTAGTTCGTGGCATTACAGAATTGAATGAGCCATATATTGTAAGTATTCATAAACCTAGTTAATTAAAGATTTTATTATCTAATATTTGATTTTTTGTTGCACATTTTAAAGTTAATTTCAGTTTGTTTAATGAAAAATTTTAAAAGAATAATTAATGGAAATTTTGATTTTTGAGAAAGGGTTAAAACAAAGGAAAAGAAAACAAAGGAACATGAGGGGCTTTCAAATATTCAGTAAGCATATTTGTTTTGGCAATTTCGAGCTCCCCCTTTTTTAGCAAGAATAAGCAAATTCACCAAATGCAATTAAAAAGTCTGTGATATTGAATAGAATTGAAGAAAGGATAATTGATAGAAGTTATGGTTATAATAATATTTAAAAATTTTAACTGCTTGTCTTAAAAAAAAATTTTCTATGTTCTTTCTTATCTTTGATTTTAAATCTCTAAACTAAAAATATCTTATTAATTTAAAGGTTTATTTACGATCAGTATTATTAATCAATTATTATTTTTGTTATCTTGCTACATACTGCTTTTTAATTCTATTTTGTGTTTTTTAGAACAAATGTGCTATGCTTGGTGAGTTTGAAGTTGCTATGGATGATGAACAAACGTAAGTAATTTTTATTTTACACATCAAATCCTGATTAATCTACATTATGCAATTTTCATTAATAATTTTATTTATTTTATAACCTAATAACAAACTTAAAATTAGGAAAAGAAATTGTTTTTTGACTTATCTTTTTAATTAATAATTATTATACAACTCATGAAATCATTAAAACTATATAACTTAGTACTCCAAGCATTCACCCTTATGCAAAATTCGTGTGAAACTTCCCTGCTACATACCACTTTTCCATTGAATAATTTGGGAAAAAACAGGTTTTTCGATGCAGGAAAACCTGCCACTGTTGTTATAAATTTGAAGTGGTACTCATTTAACATCGTAAAAATTTATAAATTTGCTTAATATTCGGAAATAACTGAATTTGATGCTCAACAATTTTTAAATTAAGCTCTTATATTATTTTATGTTTATATTTCAAAAAGTATTTCTCGCACATTATCAAAACAAGAGAAAAATTCATAGTTTAAAAAATAATTAAAGGGATGCTAAAAGACAATCTCTGAGCATAAATTTTTTTCAAAAAAAATAAATTAATAAAAATGTTTAATTGATAAAGTTTTGACTAATAATCTTTTTTTTTGTTGTCAAGCCTAATAATTGGAAGTTTTTTTTCTATAATTTAGATTGAAAATTACAACAAAAAAAAACAAAAGAAACATTTAAAGGTGTATTTTTTTTTAAAGAAAAAAGTATTTATTTAAAAAATGATTTTAGAATTTAAAATCACCTAAAAAATTCATTAATATACTTCCTGAAAAAAAATAGAAACTTATAAAGATTAAACCACTTGAGAATAATCCTAACAGAGTAAATATTTGTAATAATAATCAGAATTAAACCCATAAACATAGATAATTTTATCTTATTATTTAACCAGTGACTTATTTATTTTTTTAAATGGAATATGAGTAAACAGGCAGTGTTCATAAAGGATAGCGGCTTATTTTTACAAATAAGGTGCATTTCTAGGGATCAAAGGGCAAATAGGGCAGGCCTCCCTTCCGAAAGCACTTAGGGCAAATACTGATGAAGTTGTGTTGAAAATGAAATTCTTAAATTGCATTTGATTTTTTGATGCTAATTTTTTTTCTAAGGGAGAAAATGTTTTACTTATATATTTTTCGTTGAACTTAAACTAGTATATATTTCATGAACAGTGAATGCCGGAGAAAATGTCCAGATGGTCAATATGGAAGCCTGAAAGATTTTACTTGTTACATGTGTGACAAATCTTGTTCTTCTTGTTATGGACCCTCTTATAATAATTGCTTATCATGTTCGAGGCATTTTCTGTTGAAGGGCACTTGTGTACAATCATGTCCTGATGGTTACTTTTCAGGTATCTATGAAATTATCTTTTTATTTATATTTGGCTTATCGTAACACAATTAGCAAAATTTTGCTTCTTGTACTAGGTTTAGTTTGATATTTGAATAGTATTTTTATGAATTCTATTCCTTGAAAATTAAGGAAAAAAATTCGAATTTTTTTTTTATGTATTTCTTTATACCATCATCTTGAATTATTTCTTTAATGAAAAAACTGCTAAGCTGCTTTCATATTAAGATAGTAATTTTTCCAAGACAACTCTTGCTGCGAAAAAAAATTTCTGAATTTGATAATTCCTCTTGAATTTTATTAATAAAAAAAGCTGCTGAAGATTCTAAAGACATGATTTTGTGGTAAATGATTTTAAAGTTTGCAGTTAGACTCGCATTATCACAAATAATTTTCGTTATATAAACAAATTCATCGATATCAAGTTTACTTTCATTTAGATATTCCAATAATCTTTTATTTGCAATAGCTACTTTTAAATTGGATTAAGTGTATTACTATTGGGATTATATATAGAGAGAGAAAAAAGAAGAAAATTAACGAGTTTTATTTATTGCTCATAAGCTGCAAGTATTTAAAACTCATGAAATAAGCTAAAAATATAGAGAAAACATGGAAAATAATTAGGATCAATTAAAAAGAAGAAGAAAGAGTATTAAAATAAAACATTTTTAAAAAATAGATTTTTTTTTAAAATATATTATTTTCTGTTTCAATGCTTGATATATTTTTTACTTAATGCATTCTATTTTGTTTCAATTTTTTTTAGTGCTCCTCAACTATTTTATTGATATATTTTGCTTTGGCTATATTGATACAATATTAGAAAGCACTCGTTTTTGCTATATAATCGTGTCACTTGATGAAGTGATTTTTTGTTATTTGTCTTTTTAATGTCTATTCTTTAAATTTTTTTAAAAGAATATTTTTTTTAAAAATATATATTTTTTTAAATATTTTGTTGTAATAATTTTTCTTCTTTTCCTTACTTTAATCCTTATTACTTTCCATGTCTTCTCTATATTTTTGACTATATATCTATACATGAATACATATTCATATATATATATTAGGATGCGTAGCGTTTTTAAAAAGTGCTTCAAGGTGCTTATTTTCGATTTTCGTTTTTTAGAAGCCCTAAAAGGTGCTTTTTTCATTGAGTGTTTAAAAAAAGTGATTAATTTTCCCTTTTTCAAATTGAGATTTTTCTTTTACAATGTCGATTTATGCTTCGAATTATGCAAAAAGACGCAGTTTACATTGTTCCAGGCAACGTTTTCACAATTAATTCAACTCCAATCTATTTCGGTGTATTGTCAGTCCGTAGCGTATGAAAACGTCATTCGTTTTACATGATTCAAAATTTCATGATTTTTGACAATTTTCAAAGCCAATGCCAAAAGTTCTTTTTGACATGACGGTTAAAACAAGATAAAACCGTGAATTGTAAAAAACTTTCCCACCCTGCCCATTATGATAAGTGCTTAAAAATATTTTTTGAGTGCTTGAAAANTGATATGAAAGTTCAAAATTTGATATACATCTTTAAATGTTGGTGAATGAAGTTATCTTTACACTTTACTACACAAAATGTATTAATGTGTTAACATATTTATGTCTTTTATGAGCAAACACTTTTTTCTTTTAAATATTGGTCAATAAGTAGATATTGTGATACATTTGGTCTAAATATTATATTTCAGTGCGCTAAATATTTTCGAAAAATATCTAAATAATAAGAAAGGGATAACAGAAATAAAATTGTATTTTCTTTTAATATTATTACATGTAAAAAAATATGCCTTCTATTAGTAGTGAGAATTAATAATTTTTGTTACCAATTAAAATTTTGTTACAATTTTAATTTAATTCTATGTTACCCATAACTTATGCTTACAGTAATATATTTGATTTTTGCAACAGAATTTTTCTGTTTTTTAAACATTCCACTTTTTGATTTGTAATTTATTTTATAGGAATTTTTTCCTGACCATAACATTTTAAAGCCAATTTTTACATATTTTAATGGCAAATATTAAATTAAAAGTGCTTTCACAGTTGATAAAATGTTGAATTTTTTTTTGTAGAAGGAGTTATTCCTATGAATTACTGTTATCCGTGTCTGTCATCTTGTTCGTCTTGTCAGTCTCTTGATACCTGTGATTCATGCAAAAATGGATTTGTTTTGTATAATCATAAATGTTTATCAACTTGCCCTGAGGGGACGTTCAGAGATCAAGATGTGTAAGTTCTATTCTATACAAATTTATTGGTATTTGCATATTTGCGAAATTTATATATTGGAATTGCCGAATTTATATATTAGAAATTTTAGGGAATTGGCCCATTAGTCGCAGAATGGGGAAAAGTTCAAAAATCAATCAATCTGGAATTAAAATAAAATATCCAAAAAACAAGGAAAAAGGATTTAATTTTTGTGTGAGATACCTTAAAGTACCTTCAATATCATCTCCAAGTATCTCCAATTTTTTTTTCTTAAAAAATTTTGATCTGAATTATTAAGGATATTTTCTGATTCTCAATTTTAGTTCCATTTATATCAATAAATTGAAATCTTCTGAAATTTTTTGCCTAATTTATTTATTTATAAAATTTATAACTATAAAATTATAAATTTTATAAATAATAATTGTTTATATTAAAAATTACTTATATTTATAAAGAATTTTCAAATATTCTCAAATTCATCATTTATTAGGATAATAATAATATTCTATAATTTAAGAAAAAGACTGTTTTATTATAATATGCTATAATAAAACACCGTAATTGATACATACAGTATATATATTTATGCCAACTAACAGAAAATGTTTCACTCAGTAACTAAAAGTTACTTTTACAGTTACTTATGATCTGTCATAAATAACAGCTGCATAATATAAAACAAAATGTGTGATGTCCATTATATATCTTTACTGCTTTCAATCAAAATTTTTCAGGTGATATATTTAAAATAAATAATTTATTTATTCCTGTTATACTATTTTTTTTTAAATGTTTATTTTTGACTTCATTTGCAGTTTATTTGCAATGTACTCTAAGTATATAAATAAGGTATAATTTAAATATTACTGTATAAACTTGACTTCCTGGAATGCTGGCTAATTGTCAGTTTCTGGATAGATGAAAATTTCACCTCACTAAAAATCTTGGTTTTCTACATCACCTTATTTTCTATAAAATTAAATAAAACAAGTAAAAGTTATATGCAGAAATTTTTTTATAAATTAATTATAATTGATTATCAGCAGATAAAATGTTTTATCAAAAAATAATAATAAGTTATCACCAGATAAAATGTATTATAAAGTTTAGCTATTAGACTTGTTTTTACTACTATGAGTTCATTTTCTTCTTTTAATTGTTAGCTCTAAACTCTTTTTAAAATACTATTAGTTTATTTTTTTACTACATGGAAAACTAGATTTCTCACTCGTTACCGAAGTAGCGAACCAGTTAAAGTGCTAATTAATTGATTTAAAATTATTTTATCTTGTATCATTTTCCATAAAAAAAGAGCTTTTATTTTGATTACCTCTATAGCTTTTTATTTAAATTCATAGATGTGGAAGGTGTGATAGATCTTGTGCTTCCTGTTATGGTTCTCAAGCACATAACTGTTTGAGTTGTCTTCCTCCATATGTTTTACACAACAATACTTGTCATCAACATTGTCCTCAAGGTTATTATGCAAACCGTGACGATTATGTTTGCACAAAGTAAGATTATGTTTTAATGAATTACTTTTAAAATAAAATATAATTTATTTTACTTCATGACATGCTTCTTTCTTTCAATATTTCTTTGTTTTTAACTACTGACTAAAAACTAATAAAATAGCATGAATACACTTTGTAAAAATTGTTACTCTATCATGGATTGCTATTAATTTTTGTGTTGGATTTGAGTTTCATTCAAGAATTACAATCCTATTTATTCGAGCCGTGGTGGCTCAAAGGATAGAGCTTCTCATTTTCTAATGAGGGGTTGGAATCCCAGCAATTGCTGGTTGATTAGAATTCCACACCTGGCTGACGTAAAATATCTTCAGTGGTAGACGGATCATGGATAGAGTCCCATTGCCACCAGGCTAACCGTGGGAGAGTTTCACATTTTTCCTCTCCGTGTAATGCAAATGTGAGTTAGTTCTATCAAAAAAGTCCTCTATAAAGGCAAATTTCTCCAAATACTTGAACGGGTATCTGTGGCGTGGGTAATGTTGCTGGCCTCCGTTACTTAGGCTCACTGGTGCCCACTGGGTTACGTTAAATGAGCAACATTTTCAGCATCTTGTGAGGTAAAAAACAAAAGTTTAAAAAAATCTATATATTTTTTTCTCACTTATTTTAAACTAAATTAATACAAAAGAATGGAAAAAGTATGAACGATATGTTTAGCAAAAAATTCTGTGTCAGAGGACCTAAGCAGTTGTAAACCTCCTAAAGATATATCTTCATTTAAATGTATTTTCTACCCCGTGACTCCCCCACCCCTTTATTTCATAAGATGATTGTGCATTGTAAGAAAAAAAGGAAAAAAATACTATACAATCTTTGACATATGTGAAACACTCTGTTGGTTAAATAAGGATTAATTAATTAAATAACTTAGAAGTGCAGATACTTTCATTTGATTTTTACTAAGTGAGCTAACAATTAATTTTTATGCCCTTTTTTCTAGAATAATCGACATAAAAATACAATTTGATAAGAAAACTCAATGAATAAATATTTAAATTTCTTATATCTCTATAAATACATAATTATAATCCTTTAGAAATATCTTATCTGCAATTATTGCTGACTTTTTAATGAAAAAAATAGTGCTAAAAATGATTTTATGCACTTTTTCATAGCTGAAGGCAATGATTAAAGAGCTTGCTAGTTGCTTTAAAATAGAAGGTGTAGAAGTTTTCATACTGCTAAAAAAGAAATTCTGTAAGATTCCTGCAATTTGTATAAATAATAAACATCTTTTTTCTAAAGAAGAAATTTAATTTTAAAAATCAGCCTTTTAAGCACTTTTAAATTCTCAAAATTCCTAAGAATAAGAGGGTAATTCTTGAGAATTTCTCATAAAAAATAGAGATGTACTTTTTTTTAATAGCTTTTCCACAATGCTCAAGCCTCAATGCAATTATTCTTTTTCTCCTCCTTCCCCTCTTTCACCTTGTCTATTTTGACTCTCAGTTTAAAAATGATATAAATACTTCTGACTTTTAGATATCTGTGAGCAAGTCTAGACAATTTATTTTTACGTCTCGTTTTCTTTATAAAAAATAATTTAAAAATAGCCTGAAACTAATTCACCTATTTCAAAAATTGTTCGTTAAATTTGCCTTTTTTAGAAACTTAATGTTTTGGTACCTTATACTGCATAAATTTAAAATAGTTTTCATTTTTTAAGAAGTATTTCTTTTTATAAACAGGTGCCACTGGTCATGTGACTCATGTAGGGATGGAGATTCATGTACTAGCTGTAAAATCGATTGGGAGCTCGATTCCTCAGAATTTTGCTCATATGTAGGTTCTAACTGCAGAAAAGGTATTCTTAAATTTATCTTTTATTCCATCTTATTCTACTATATTTCTTCATTATCTAATTATTCTTTGTTTAGTTCTCCTTTTGCTCTTTCTGCTTGGTATGACTATTTGCAGTTATTAAAAAATTAAATCCTGAGTTTAGGATAATTCTTAATTGACTGTAATTCTTAAAGACTCGAGGCAATTCCATGGTGACTGACATTGCATTTCGATATTTTTTTCTTTTTTTTTAAATTTTTTTTTCAATTGATAAATGTTTAATAATTTTTAAAAAAATTATATGGAATGTTATTTAACAGCCTAATATGATAATGCATATAAGAAAGGGAAAGTCATATAAAATGACATATAGAAAGTCGCAAGTAGAGAAGAAGCTGTGACTTATGTTACACTGCTGTGACTTATGTTGACTTATGTGATTTCTATATGACTGACGTTAAAATTTTAGTAAACTTTTCACAACATACACATTTATACAAGTACAATAACCACATCTGCTTTATAGTAAAATCTATCCTATTTTTGCTAAATAATGTAATTATTATATTTTTATACTCTGGTTGTTTGTGATCGCTATTACCTTTACTTTCCTCTGATCATTTTGTTACATTTTGTAGCAATCTTGTTCCTCTTTTAGGTTGGAATAACCCGGGTATTGCTTGTGAACCTTGTCATACTCATTGTGAGCAATGTTCAGGTCCTGGAGCCCAAGACTGTGTTCGTTGTGAACAAGGGTAATGATGACATTATTACTGTTATATAAATTGTCATTGAACTTTCTGATTTAATTTACAGTATCATAAACACAATAATGGTTCTGTTGCTGATATCATTTTTCTAACCATTGTTCATTAAACATTATTTTGATTAATCCTTGCTTCAGTGTATTTTCGAGGTATAACATATTTTAAAAAGTTTTAAATAAACATTTTTCGAATAGATTTTGAGATAATTATCTGTATTGAAAACATTAAGTATTTTGTATTAAAGTGTGGTCTGAAATAATTAAACACCTCAATTTATAAAGAAATAAGTTATTTAATGTGCGCTTCAATGTACACTTACGGTAAACAACATTATATAATTTTGCTTAAGCTGAGCAAAAAGGCTATGAATTAAGTCTGACATATCAAATGTGGAAAAAAAGAAGATTGCTGGAATACCTCAGAATCAAACATTGTCCTCTTTTGTCCAACACCTAGAGAGAAACTGTGGTTTAAGCACTCAATGAGGTAACTCAGGTTCGATCCCAGTGTACACAGGTCGATTCGAATTCTGCCCCCGTCTTGCACCGACCACAGTGCTGACATAAATATCCTCAGTGGTAGACGGATCATGGAGTAGAATCCCTTTGCCATTGAGCTAACTGTAAGAGGTTTTTGTGATTTACCTCTCTGTGACCCAAATGTGGGTAAATTCCATCAAAAAGTCCTATACAAAGGTTAGTTTGTCCCACTGCTTGATCCTGGAGTTCCTTTTTTGGATTGGGTTCAAAATTATAAGGCTCTGGGGTTGAACACTGATAGTCTTACACTCAGAATTAGATCAGCTGTTCAACTTCAGTTATAAAAAAATTAATTGAAAAAAAATATCCATAGGTTTTCTTGCTGTTAATTGTCAGTTTCCTTTTGAAAATGTTCCCTCAGTGGACTGATTGTTAAGACACAGTTCCCAGCAGATCACCGAAATCAAACATCACTAGCTGCGGTCAGTGCACAGGTGGGTGAAGGTCCAAGGACGTACGGTATGGATCCTCGTCAAACTGTTTTATCGTAAAGTGCTCGACTTCTTGCACAGGTCGTCGGGTCATTGAAGTGGGGGTGCCATCCCCTCTGCAGAGGATCAAAATGGTGATGGCATGTCTTCAGGTCATCCTCGGAGATGTGTCCCAGACTATCGCCAATAGCCCATTGTGTTGCTCTAGTGTGACGTAAATGAACTACAACAACAATCTTTTGCTAATGAAAACAAGCTATAGCAACTGAGTTATCAAATAAGTCATAATGTCTCCTGCAGCATTCTATTCCGAAGTATGTTCAAATTTACTCAAACTTTGTTTAGTGTGGTGTTTGAGAAGGTTATTATAATGGATTTTATGCTAATTTAAATGACGCATTGTAAATTTCTTACCTCTTTCCTTCATGAAAAATTTCATTTTGTGTTTTTAAGGTACTTGTGGCTGGAAGGTCAGTGTGTGGAAAAATGTCCTACAGATTATTATGCATCCCAAGATGAATGCAGGGGTTGCGACAAGCATTGCACAAAATGCAGTAATAGTGAATGTCTTGCATGTGCTAAAAACCTTCTTTACCACAAAGGAAGATGTTTGCATTCTTGTCCTGATGGGTGAGTTTTTAACATTCATTCTGAGATATGATATTTTTTTCATAAAGTAGTGAGCTCCACCCTATGTTCGATATTTCTTTTCAAAATAGTTTTTATATTTTAAGAGGGAGAAGCGTGCTTAATGAAAATTTTCTGGAACAGCTGTGGCGGTACTAAAGGCATCTAGCAGTTTTTTAATACATGACTTATCAATTTTAGAATCTTAAAATTTTGTGATAAATCCAGTTATTGTAGGTAACTCCACTATCTATCCCAGCAGATCATTGAAGTCAAGCATCACTTGCTGCAGTCAATGTGCTGGTGGGTGAAAACTTAGATAAGATTGTAAAGGTACAGAGGGTGTACAGTATCATGGGCTACTGGTTTAGTGAAAGTTCTCCTAGATTTTGTACTTTTTAGAAAATTCCCTAAAATTGAGTATGTTTCCTTAAAAAATCCCTATTGAAATAGAATCTTTGTGCAGATTATAGCTTGGTTGAATATTTAAATAAGTGTCCCTAATACGTGAGGAAGTGAGCCTCATTTATAAAATTTAGTTAACTATCTTTTATGAATTAAATGCCTATTACTTACTATTCAGAATTATGAATAAACATACTACATAACATTTCAAGATCATTTAATGTGAAATCATAACTGGAAAATATTGCAGTTTTTCTATTTTGATGACTATAAAATCCCTAAAATTCCCTATGTGTAAAATATTTAGTATATTTTGCTACAATTATAATGAAATTTATATTATTTTGTGAAATATACTGAATATTTTCCTATAACTATGAACAGGTATGTTTTCTATACTATCACCAATTGCCCATTGTGCAGCTCTAGCACGTAGGATAAAAATCCATATGAGTTGCAATAATTTATTTGATGTAAATAAATTATTGCTACTAATATGGATTTTCCACCTTAAGTCTCTTTCCTTCGAGAGTAGTATTAAAATCTTCCCAAACTGCCCCAGGTGCCACAACATGCAGACTTCTCCCCAACATATCCTGGACTGTCTTGGACTAGACAAGAGGGACATACTAAATAACCCACTTTTGGTGGCCGACTTCCTCCGGGTCATGAATTTCATCATGTACATTATTTAGCCCTGCTAATTTTGGGGATAAGGAAGACGAAGAATATGGATTTTTCTAATTTTCATTACATTTTGTATTCTATGACTTCTTTCCTTTTTTTATATGAAATATCTTTTTTATTGCTATATTAAATAATTTATATTTAAAGGATCTGTTAACACATTTTCGAGTTTAGATTTTTATTTTAAAATCTTTTGTCGTGCATAGGTATTTTGACGATTCAAAAGGGAAATGTGAAATTTGCCACTCAGACTGTACAACCTGCATTGGTGGCTCAAAGCAAAACTGCACTTCATGTTCTCCAAACTTGTATCTGAATGATAAGTCTTGTGATAAAAATTGTGCCGATGGCTACTATTCATCACCTTCTGAAAACAAAGGAGAATGCATGTCATGCTATCCCACTTGTAAAAGCTGCTCAGGTATTGACTATTTTCTCTTCTGGGTTTTTAGTGTATTTTTTGATGCATTGAATAATTTAATTTTTGTATTTTCAATGTGCAATGTTCACTTGGCAACTATGTATTGGACTTAAAAAATCAGTTTTATATGAAAGCTGAGTTATTTTTGTACTGGAGTAAATAATGTAGAACACAATGTTAAGAGCTCATGTAAAATGAGTTGAAAACAGTTTTTCCAGAGCTGTTAACAAGTGTCATCAGCAATGCCCAAACTCAGAAAAAAGATAAATACTGATTTAGTATTATTTCTCTTCATTCTATATTTTTTTTTCATGCACTAATAGTGATAATATGAATAATATTGCTATAATAGCATTATTATTCAACTCTTTTAAACTATTTCTACTTATGTTCTGTGCCTTTGCACTAATTATGGGTTTTTCTGAATCAGATGTGTATCATTGACTATTTTTATTTGTGATCTGTTGTCTTTGCACTGATGATTGTACCTGTGTAATAGCTCCGAATCAATTATATATGTTAAACTTTTTTTGTGCTCTGTTTTCTTTGCACTTATGATTTTACATGTTTAATAGCTATAAAATAGTTATGTATGTTAGATTTTTTTGTGTTCTATTTTCTCTGAATTGTTGATTTGACTTGTTTAGTAGCCCAAAGCCAGACTTTTCCTTTATTTGTGTTTCATTGTTTTTACCTTCAATATATTACTTGTTTGTAGCACCAGAATAACTTCCTGAAGCAATTTTTATTTGTGCTCTTTACATTGTTTTTTTTTAAAAAGAAATTAATGCTATTTAATGTTCTCATATTAGAATTTGGACCTTTGTTTTGTGCAACCTGCTATAGTAACTCAACGTTTTCTGAGGGTGCTTGTATTCCATGTTTAGATGGAGAATTTTATAATAAGAGAAGAAAGGTATGTTTTTATCGCATCTCATATCACAATGTAGATTTTAATTTCTTTTTTCATGAGTGAGAAATTGACTTTTTAAAAAAATTTGTAATGTTTAAAATATACTGCATTGATTTACTGTAAAAGCAAAATGTATACAGATCTTTATTAATTTTATTGTATTATTTCATTTTGTTTTAGAGTTATATTATCTAAGTTTTACAAGTTATATGTGCATCATGCAAAATAAATAAAAGAAGCCCTTAATAACTTTTGATCTAAATGTCAGAATTTAGTGTACTAAAATGTAATCTTAATGGTTCGAAATCTGCTATCCGATCTCCCGACCCGACTTTGCTGACCCTATTCATGGGTGCAAGTCTTCCGTCTTTCGAAATTGTCCGCGGACGGAAGTAAGACGGAAACAAGACTGACTCGAAGACGGAAATCGGAATTTTTTTTTTTTCTGTCCTTAAAAATACTTTTTAGGTCTACGTTATTGGTCTACTTTCTTATGTCCTGTTGTTATTTTATCAAAAGACAGATGAATAAATATTTTTTGTACAGTATTTAAACTTGATGTATTATGGTAAAGCTTTCTTAGATAGTTTGCATATGTCGAGGGGGTATTGTGCATGTTAGGTATTTCAGTCAAAAAATTTTCAGTCTTGGCCTTCTTTCCAACTTGCACCCATGACCCTATTTTCCGGAATGTGGCTATCCCTCATGTTTCGAGGGTCACACATTCAAATCCATCAGCAACAAAAATGGTGTGTTTAATCTGCGAAAGTACATTTTTGTGTTTGATTTCTTAAACATCATTTGGGATCTGCAGTCATCAATTAAGCTCTCAAATCATTAAAATCTGACCATTAAAAATGTTTAAGGTGTTTTTTTTTTATTTTGTGCTTTGTACTATTTTTTTAAAACTATGAAAATTTTACTTAATTTTGCTGTTTCAAATTATAATAATAGTGACTTTTTATCATCCATCATGGCAAAACATCCCAGAGTGGCCCAAAGCCTCCTGAACCAGTCATTCCTACTGACAGCCAAACTCTTCTCATTTTTAGCCTTGATAACAGAGCAGTTCTCTTCCACTGTTTATGACTGTTTTAGTTTAGGGTTTCATTTTCTTCTCTTGTTATAGTCCCTTTTTTATTTCAATCTTTTTAATGTCTTATTTTAATCTGATTTTTTTTTTACAGGCATGTGATTTAATCTGAATAAATAGTACTGAAATAAATAGCATAGTGTTGTGAAGTTTTCAGAGCAGTTAAAGATATTTTTTAATAGGATTTACGTTACCACTTTTGAGTCTTAAAGTTATACTGTTAAGATCACCTGCACAAGGCATTTTTATTGTAAATGTTCTGATGTTCTTTCTGATGTTTATGATGTTCTTATTTGTGGATGCTGATTTAAGTTTTATTACAGAATTGTGAACGGTGTCACCCTAAGTGTGGTCGATGTTATGGTCCTTCTGAGAATAATTGCCTGTCTTGCTTTGCACCTTTGAGATTAGATGAAGTAAAACATTTGTGTCTACCTTGCTGTGATGGAACTCAGAAAAAACCAGATTGCTGCTCTTGCAGTGCTGATTTAGGTAAGAAAGAAATGATGTCTATATTTTGTTTGATTCGTTAGTATTTAGAGCTTAGTCGAAAAGTATTTTAGGGATTTTTACTGAATTATTAAAAAAATTTGTTTTTGACTTAGTTGAATTAGTTTAAATAAATGTTCTTAACAACCAATCACAGAGCTAGATATTAATAAACTTGAGAGTCACAGGCCAGAGCTGACCTGTATAATGTATATGAACACTTTGCAGAAAATGTTTTACTATTGCTAAAAAAAAAAATCCCCCTCTTTAAATGAAGTTTGTATTTTTCAAATTCCTAAAAAAAAAAAGCCTTTTTACGCTCTTTCCTACCAATGCAAACACAATTTAAAATTACATTTGCATGATTTAAAATTGCAACTCGCGATTCCTATTTATGCGATTTAATATCACGCATTGTATTTCGTATTTTCGCAATTTCATGTCAAATATCGTGTTTCGGATTCGGGCAACTTAAAAGCTACTATTATGATTCATGTTTAAATGTCTTAAAAAATATCTGAAATAATTCTGATCTTTCCCAAAGCATAATCAAGAACTTTGCATTTAATAATTGAAGATAAGGGGTGGGGGATGATTTATGGGAGGAAGAAAACAGATTTTAAGGTTAGAAAATTTTCAGTATAAAGCATTATTCGATTGAAATCTTTAAAATAGAAATATATAGAAATGTCATAAGCATTTATTTACATTCCCTAAAAAATTTCAGAACAAAATTTTGAACTTTTGATGTGGAGAATAAATAAATTTTGTAAATTGGGTTGAACAAGAACCATCTTTTCCTCCAAATTTCTCCACAATCAGTACTTCTTCACACGTTTTCTTCTTCACCATACTTTTCTTTTTTACTCGTGTTTACGCATACATAGGAACTTTTTGTCCCCTGCAGGGTCTAGCTTCACTGTGTAACAACTCTTGGTGAGAACCAATTTTCCATGTCATTGATTTGTCAAAACTTAGTAATCCTCAAAATGCACGGGTTAGCTGGCTGGTAGGGTACTTGCCCCATGTCCAAGCGGTCGTGGGTTCGATCCCCACCGGCCAAAGACTCCCAGTGTAGTAAATGGTGACTGATGCACTTTAAATCTGTCAAATCACAAAGTCCAACATGTTCCCATAACAAATCAAAATCTCTGGGGGTACTGATCCAGGAGGTTCCTTGTCTTCTGAATTGGGATCAAAATTACAAGGTTACGGATTTGAACATTAGAAGTCGTAAACCCAAAAAATTGGGTTCGCTGTTCAACGACGGCTATAAAATAAAGTAAAAATCTGACGATCCAGTCGTTCCCTCGTTCCAAGCATTCGTCCCCTCTCCGAATGCGAATTTTTGCCACTGAAAAGAAGAATATATATTTAACTCAATCCTCAAAATTATGTCAAAATGAATTTTTCTAAACAAATTAATATTTTTTGTTCGATTACAGTAGTTTTTGGTAGATGCGCTGCATAACCAACTAGAATTGGGTCCAAATAATATTAAACAAACTATCATAAAATAGTTTTCTATGAGAAAAAATTATTTGTAAAAGCATTGTTAAGATTTGCATTTGGCGAATACTTTTAATATTCGCCTAATTTACTGGCTAATAATTTGAAATCCTTAGTGCAGGCCCTACATAAGCCATTATTCACCCTTGATCTTCAATTATGATGATGAAGTGATTTCAAACATTTTATTAAGTAGTTTGAAGAAAAAGTATGCAAACTACTTTTACAGTCGGCATTACTACTTTTTTGCAGTTATCTATGGTAATTTTGATCATCCTCAAAGCATAATCATTAACTTAGAATTTAAAGATTATGATAATGAAATGATTTCAAATATTTTATCTAGACCTCAAGTAGAGGACTGTTAATATATGTTTTCCAACTTTTCACTGTATTATAATTTTGTTGCAGATATCTGTGTTAATTCTGATCATCCTCGAAGCATTCTCCTGAACTATCCGACTGAAGATTATGATGAAGTAGTGATTCCAATGAGACACGTGGTACCAATTGTGATAGCCATATGCTCCTCCGTAGTTCTTCTGTATGTCCTCTTGTTTGGTATTCTTCAAGCCAACTCAATGGGCTGGTGTCGTCTTAAATCGAGAGTTCAACAGTACGAGCGTGTGCCCAGTAATTCGGCGGTTAAGTTTGAGACGGAGATGGAAAAAATATCTCTCACTCAGGGTGACTTGGAGGAGGAAGATGATATTTATGAAAAAGTTTAAATCAGGGTTGGTACTATTGGGGACATTTTTATCCGGTTTTGACCATGGTTCGAACTGTCATATCAAAAAGGTGTGAGCTGTAAAAAAAAAAAAGACATATATTTTCATTATCGATATTTTTGACATTTTAAAAGCTCTTATATGAGGGGTTCCTAGATAACTGCTCTTTAGACCCTTGTCAGAAATGAGGTAAACAAAAGCATACACATTCGAGGACACAGTTTTATGTTCAAGTTACAAAAAGGCTACGAGTATCACTATTGAGGAAAGTGGTGCTGAAAGGAAACTTATCAATGTTTCTCTTCTAGAGCTAACAAAAGTTAAAAGGAGACTGGTAAAAGCACATCCAAGTTTTGTTTGGCAATTAAACTGGATTTGGTAGTTATCCTGCCTTCCTCACTAGTGATAATAAAATTTCGATGGAATTTTTGTTTCTTCCTCTCTTAAATATAGATTTGCGATTCCTATTGTGTATTCTTTTGCAACTTCATTTTTAAAGATGATTTTAAATGTACACATTAAGGGTAGTCATTACGGAACACCGTGTTTCATTATGTGACCTGAATATTTAGTTTTTATTTTGCTTTAAAAATATACTTTTTAATTTTATGTTGCAATTTCTTTTTAATGACAAGTCAAACATAGACTATTTGACATTTTATTTTATCATTTAATTATAATAATAATTTATTTTTTTCTTTCTTCAAATTTTTGACAGTTATATGTGGTTAAAACCTGGTTTTCAGAAATCAATTTTTTGAAGTAAAACTGCCAACCCTGGTATGGATGGATAAAAAAAACTATACCTTCACTATGGTGCCTCCTGATCAAATTAAGTCTTTCATAACTTAAATGTGCTATCATTAAAAAAAAATATATGTGACTTAAATATTTTTATATTTATTTCTATTATAAATAGAGTATTGTTGCTTAGTTTTTAGATTTTATTGAATTATTTATTCAATGCTTTTATGAGCTTTTATTTTCCTTATATGACTTCATATCAACAAATCATACTGTAGCTGATCATTAAAACAACATGAAATTTAGTATTTCATTTAAATTTAGGAAAAAAAAGAAGCAATTATTTTTATTATTGTATCTTTACTCAAGGTATTCTGAATCAGGTTGACAATTATCAAAAATATATAGCATGGAAACGGTTAAAGTTGGAAGGAAAAAAACAATAATTCTTGCTGCAGGCTCATGTGATATTGTATAAAGTTTCCTCTTAGATTTCTTAGTTTCAGTTCAAGAAAATTTCAGCAGATGGCACAGCAAGTCTCTACTACTGTTCTTACTAGTGATTTCGTAATTTCGTTCTCCGATTGCGATTTGTGATTGATTGCAACTGATAAAGGATTTGATATTCATTCTTAAAAATATTTGTCCCGCAGTGGACTGAGCGTTAAGACACGGTTCCCAGCAGATCATCGAAGTCAAGCATCACTGGCTACGGTCAGTGTGGGGGTGGGCGACCACTTTGAATAGTCTGTGTAGGGACTGAGGGTGTGCGGTATTAGTCCTTGTTAAACTGTTCTACAGTAAAGTGCTCGACTTCGCGTGCAGGTCGCCATCCACTCTGCAGAGGATCGAAATTATGGGGGCATGTCTTCGGATCATCCTCAGGGATGTTTCCCAGACAGTGGCTAATAGTCCATTGTGCAACTCTAGTGCGGCGTAAATAAACTACAACTACAATAACTTTTTAAAAAAAAATTTTAATGTGATGCAATTTCTAATCATTTATCTTTGATTGACAGATTAACTTTCTACAGTGCCATCTGTCAATAAATTTTCGAACTAAAGCTAGGAACTCTTTAAATGAAATTTTCTTATTAACATGCTTGTCGTATTAGTCGCACGAGTGATCTACAAAATATTTTAATTAACCTTGAAGCAAAAATGGAAGCTGAGATACCTTATTAAATGCGTATTTGATTTTAAGCTGTGAGAAATATCTTTTTCAAGCAAACTCTTGGATTTGGTCACCTAACATTTTGTTTGTGACTGAACTTTTCTAAAACTTAAACAAAATTGTAGTTATTGATTCTTAAAACATTTGTGTTTAATATTGATTTGCTTCTTCAACATTTTATTATAGCTAGATTGTGATGAAGAATGTTGTGTTATTTAATCTATGTTTTAAAAGTGTGGAATGAGCCTTTTTAATCTTCAACTGCTGATACAACAGTTGGATTAGAATAACAGGCTTTAACCCGTTAAGCGCTATACCGCCATAAGTAAAAGGTTGTGTTGTGAATATGTTGGGTATTGTTGAATTTTTGATACAAACTTTAGATTTTGACCCGAAGGAATTAAAAACTGAAAATTAAATTGTATATATCAAAATATATTACAGCTTTTAGTAAAAATATTTATTGTGAGCATAATTATTTTTTATTTAGTTTTTTATTGCTTTCAATTGTTTCAGACTGTGTACTTGAAACACTATCAATTGATGTTGTCAAATATGACAACATTTATTAATTTAATCAATATTTTTAATTTGGATATTTGCTTTTATTCTGCACTGATATTTATTTCATCACTGACCTACCTTCTTCTACCCAATAATATAACTTTGAAACTTATTTAATTTCGTAAGAATTTGATATAAAAAATATAATACACAGTTTTTGCAAAAATGATTTAAATTCAATTTTGAAAAAATGCTGTGAGAAAAGTTTTATCTTTTTAAATGCATTGTTGATATAAATTTTTTGAATTATTTATTCATTATCTGTAGACATCGAATTTCGGAGCTGTGTTCTTTTTTTCAGTAACTTCATCATTTGTCGATCTTGAATTGCTGCAGGCAGTGCCAATGTTTTACAAAAATTTTAAAAGTATTTCCCCAACAATTAAGTTTCACTCTTTAAATCTTGACATATTGCAATATAAAAAGATTGAGTAGATATTTTCTTTTTTATTTCTTATTTAATTTATACAATGAAATTGCTCAAATATTAATACAGAAAACTTTATAACTTTCAAGTTTCTGTCATGTAATGTAAATCTAAATTTTTTCATAGTTACTGTAAACAATGAAAAATCTATTTTATTTTTACTCTCCAATCAAGTTACATCTCCCTTGTGCAATTATTTCCAGTAATGCTGCATTGTTTTTTCTAATATAAAGCGCAAGACATTTTAGAAATACTATCTTTTTTATTTACAACTTCTTCATGTGGAATAGTTATTTCAAGAAATCAAATCTGCAATGGACATTTATACCACAATACCTTTTTGATATTCATTCTTAGTGGTAACATTTAATGAGAAATTTAGTGCACATTTATTCTCTTAACATTTTAATTACTACTTACACAAATTCTTACTAACTAGGAACTGCCTAATCATTAAATAGCATAATGAAAGAAAGATTTGTTGTACGTGAATTGCTAATCGAAAATTCAATTCAGTGATAAAGCCGAGATACGACCTTTTTGACTAGATGACTGTTACTAGTTGGAGATAAATGAAAAGCTTTGTAAGCTATTTGTTTGTAAATAGTACCATTGTTTTAAAAATTTCAATTGGAAAATTTTTCTCAATTATTTTATGGAGTAGATTCTAATTGATTAAAGATTTCATTTTGCTGATTTCAACATCTGATAACTACTATTTCAGATTGTAGAAAAATATTTTGCCGTAAGTTTAAAATGGGTTAAGTTTTCTTTTCTATCAATTAACTTTGTGAAATGAAACTGAAACCTTTGCCAAGTCATAGATTGGATACATTGTCTCCTCTGCAAAGGACTTGGGTCATCTCATTGAGAGACGAGTGCTTTATACCCTGAGCCACCGCGACTCAGTTAAACACTCATTTAATCTTCTTTTTTTTTTGCTGTAAATAAATACTTTATTAAGAGCAATGTGTTTTTTTTTAACTTAAATTTTTCTATTTCTGAAAAATAGCTTACTTCTAAAAAAAAATTTTATTTACACTTCTTTTTTTTNTTCTTCATAAGATTTTAGGATTTTTCTTTCTTTTTTGAAGGATGTTCACCTTACCATCATTTTGGAAATAATCATTAGTATATTACTTCATCGTTTTTCTTTCTTTTTAAGATTATTTCCAAAAAAAATTATTTTTATTTGGGTTTAACAATAAAAAAATGGCTTTTTGTAGCGATTCAGAAAACCGGAAAAATCAGTTATCCGGAATAGCGATGGTCCCGATCGTTCCGGATAATCGGTTCCCTACTGTATTTCTGAAAAATAGCTTACTTCTAAAAAAAAATTTAATTTACACTTCAGAATATATTTTTTTGCATTAAAAAGATTATTTTTGGAATAAAAGGATTAATTTATCATTCAAATAAAAGTTAAATTTGACCAGTTATATTCATCTAGTCGTTTTAATAAGAATAGAAAACTTAACCCTTTTTCTTGTCTTACTTACCTGAGCAGCAAATTATTCTTTTAGAAATACTTTAGAGGAGAACTAAAAAACTTTCATTTTATCAATTAATTTATAAATGTTTAGATTGATAAAATGTGTACTGTTTTTGAACTTTAAATATTTTGGGATGAATCATGATCCTAATTCAAATCTAAACCAAACCTGTTTTGAACCAAACAATTTACAATTTTGTCTCTTCTCTTGAATTTAAGAAAATTAATTCTAGTTGATTCAACTCGATTACTCCTGATTATTGGAAGCTCTTTTTTTACTGTAATTTGTTAAATTTTGAAAACAAGCTTTTACTTTATTATTAAGGTATCTACTTATTATATTCATATTTTGTGTAAATTATGTATAGCTATAAATTATATAATGTATAGTAGTGTATATTTTTAGTAGAAAATAATGGTGGCTCAATTCTTCTTCTTTTTTTCCTGTTTACTCTGCACAATATTGCGGCATTTTTTTTTTCGTTTATATTTAGTAATAACATTTATATTAGAAAAACTTAGTGTATAAACATGTTACGTGATATTTTAATAAATTCCCATTGAAAACCCAATTATTCAAAACCTGTACTTATTTCTAACCACAAGGTGTTCTTAATACTAAAAATTTGAGTGTTTTTAAGAATTTGACTTAACATGTTTGATCCTCCAAGATCTGTCTTTTTGCGCAGATTACGGAAGTACTTAGTATTTAAATGTTAAGTTGGATTTTAATACATATTAACAAAACATAATTCAAAAATTTATTTAAAGATTTAGCTATGCTTGCACTCAACCACAATGTGTTCTTAAAAGTGAAATTTGGAGTTTTTTAAAAAATTTCACTTAACATGTTTTTTTATTTTTATTTTTTATTAAGATTTTCATTTAAGTGGGTTCTTAAAGAGTTTAGTGCATAAACATATGAAGTGATATTTTATTAAATTTGGAAAGCTATTTATAAAACATATTTTCATGTTAAAAACAGACAAAATTTATCAGAATTAATTGGTTTTCTATACTTACAGTCCACTATAATATGCTTTAAAATGTGAAAATTTGAATGTTTTCAAAGTTTCACTTAACATGTTTATTCCTCTAAGATCTTCATTTATGTATTATGTTTTTGAATATAATTCAGTGTTTCATCATCATCATATATATACTATATATTAAATGCAAAAGTTTGTATTCATCTGCAGTTTTTAGCCTAAATATTTGTCGTGTCACTTGCATTTATTCATGTTTTAATTTTGCCTCACGTTTCTTGTCTGTCGCTTATAATATCACAAAAAATGCACAATATATATTTTTATGTATTCGAAGTCGCTCATGCATTTATGGCTATTCTTCCTAATAGGCAAATTTCACTCTTCTGAACATTTCTTTCTAAACTAACTATCCTTTTCTAAGATTTAAAATAAAAATGTACAGTGTGCAAAATAAAAAACGAACCCCCCTTGAATAACTTTTGATCTAAGGATAGCATCTTCGTGTTCTAGGACTCCATCTTAATGATTCAAAGGGGTGACCTCAAATATGCTACTTTATTACTGCAGACGATATTTTAAGTTACAAACTCAGGCACTAAGTCGTACTATCTCTGAATAAGTATACCTTTTTTTCAACGGATTCGATTTTCTGACCCCTGAAATATGGGGGTAGCCACAATCTGAGAAATATGATATCAATTGTTTGCTCAGGAGTTATCGCCCTTACTGTTAATTTTGCATTTTGAGTATTTTGCCATATCTCGAGAAATTCCAAAGTGAATTGAAACATTTTGGCACATTGCAAAATGGGTCAAATACTTCCTGAGAAATCGAATTTTAAACATCTGGCTTTTTTTAAATGAAATTTCTCAGGGACTATTCAACCGATTTTGCTCAAATTTTTTTGTTTTGCCATGTGAAATCATATTCTTTAAAATTATTGAAAAAAATCGTGTACCTTACAATTCAACATTTTTTCCACCATTATTAAGCAAAATAATAAATGTAGTTATTTTTTTTACATGGAATTATCTTGGGATAAACAAATTTTATAATTGTGTGCAAAATTTTTTCGATTCGCCTAAAATTTTTCGAGATATAGCGAAATAAGCAAAAAGTGAAATGAAGACCTGACCGTATTGGAACCCTATTTCCCAGATTGTGACTACCCCCTATATCTTGGGGGTCTTAAATTCGAATTCTTCAACAAAAAAAAGGTATGTTTATTCAGAGAAAGTACGTTTTTGAGTCTAATCTCGTAACTTTAAATATCGTCTGTGCTTATTAATTAGCATATTTGAGGTCGTCACTTTGAACCATTAAGCTTGAGTCCTAGAACGTGAAGTTCCGATCATTAGATCAAAAGGTATTCAGGATGGTCTTTTTTTTTCGCACAGTACAACATATGTTTAAAAGTTATAAAATGCTAGTTAAATAACCTCAAAATAAAATAGTTTGTTTGACTAATTCATATGAAAATTGTGATCTTAATAAATTAATACTCTTATAGTTATACTTAGATTGGAAAAAAAGAATATTTTTACATCTAGTCTTAATTACAATACAATGTATATTATTGTATGTTATTGTATTAAATTTGAACATCTCTGCTGAATAAATTGATCCATTTCACTTGTTCATTTTATTTGTTTTAGTTTAATAATCAAAAAGTACAGTTAACTTCACAGATTATCTAAATGTGTAAACGAGTTCCTCTGTAAAGTTTTGAAATGCATTATTTTTGTTAAAATGTTGTCAGGGTAAAACGTTCCATAAAACCGATAGAATCTTGTACAAATCAAATATCATTGCAGAGAAACTCATTTAAACACGATATCATTGGGCTGAATTTCTGGCAGTTAAAATACAGTATATCATTCAAGTATGAATATCATTAGATAGAAACTTATGCAAATGGAATGTCATTACACGGAGAAGTATTCCAAATAAAATATCAACAGATCGAATCACTTACAATTTCATATCATACGGCAGGATCTCTTTTAAATAAAACATCACAGGCCAGAATCTCATGCAGAGAAAAAATCATTAGGCAGCATTACTATTTTTTCAACAAAAAAAAAATTATAATCATTGAACTGGACTGTCTCTGAGAAGGCTAATCCAGTTTATAAATACTCGTTTCGTCAAACTATGGTTGGGATGTGTGAATGAAGAAGTTATCCTACTGAGAAAGAAATGAATCCTTCCCGAAATATCGTCACAGAGAACTGAAATGTCCTTTCATAGTTCCAATCACATCTAAAAGGGACATGTTCTTTCGGTGTGTGTCTCGGTACTTTTGGCCTGATTGCATATTGTTTTATTGGGGCAACATTTTATGATATAAATATTTCGTCAGCGTTTTGAAATTATTAAACAATAAATTTTATATTTCCTTCTTATTTAGTTTAATAATAAATTTTATGTAAAAACGTGTTCAGTTGACATTTACAATTAAAATAATGTATTTAAAATGACTGTTTTAAATTGTAAAGCTACCCAGTAAAT